TATATTTGAGACACATTTTGCATTTGTTTCATTGTCGGTATCATTTAATTTCTTTTATAAAACCTTTTTTGTTTGAATTTGTTTTGAACTTTCTTCAAAAAGGCCATTCCCTTTGACCAAACCATTTCAGGACACGAGGCCGGGTCATTCCTTTGACTCATTTTTCCTTTTATATTCCATGTTTTTAAGTGACACGTTGCATCTAAACACATCCACAGTGTGAAATAAACTGAGCATTTCCTTTCAACAAAAGCATTGCAGCATTGTCATTTGAAACCACATCACAACATTGCGTTATTCAATCCACATTGCATAACTGTCATCAGAGCGCGGAGCAACTTTACGCACATTCACAAGCATTCATTCATCAAACAGTTTCAAACGAAGACACACAAATATCTTTGCAAGAATCACGGCTTTCGAACAAATTGTTTTCTTTGTTGCTAAAATGTATTGACTCAGATCTTAAGTCGCTAAATAGAAAGAGGAAATACAGGTTCTGTACCTTTCGCTTTGCTGATGGAGCTGCTTTCTCAAAACTTTTCTGCCTCGTTTTAGAAGAAATAAAGAGCAGCTTTTATCACAGAGAGACGATGTAACCATGCACAAGAGTGAATAACACCCAAGTGCAGCTGCCAAAGACGTATGAGTAGCCGACCGCTACCCAGTGCCAGATCCTCCTACCTGTGCTCCGGTGAGTGCTCCATACATGCATCATTTCATGAATCTTGGACTTCCGGTCATTGTGCAATACATACTGGGAAGGATTTTCTGAAAAAGTGAGCATCAAACCACCATGTTTGTTTTCCCAGTGGGATGTGTCTGTTGACAAAGCCGATCTTTTCAAGTCTTTTGAAACATATCGCTTTTGTTTCTGGTTCTGATATTGTCATATTTTAATTTTGGGATTCAGACATCGTAATTGTGTCGTTGTTGGATCCTAACAGCAGAAAACGGCTTGAGAAATGTGATGGGCAGTCCTGATACACTGGAAAGACAAAAAAGGAAACCTTTGACCGCGTATATCATCCCGAGTTTGCGGTGAACATTTTGTATGTGGAGCCCCAACAAAGCAAATTCCCGATCCCTCACTCAACCTCGGTTACGAATTTCAAAAGTCAACACCAAAGCGAAAGGAACCACCTGTTCACCAAGAAACACCTTCCACTGCAAAGAGACCAAGACGTGATGCTGCTGTAAAGTTGAACAAGAAAGTGCGAGCGCAGTCTGTTTGTCTTCTGTACCTCTCGCTTAACAAACGGGATCCTGCTTTGATGGAGCTCCACATACAAAATGTTCGCTGCAAACTCGGGATGATTTCTTAGGCAGCCAAAGGTTTCCTTTGTCGTCCTTCCCGTGGATCAATCCTGCCCATCGCCTTTCGCTATTTTTCAATTCCGATGGGAAGGGAAACAGTTTGAACAGAGGTTTGCAGTCACACAGATCTGATTCCCTTTTGCATTTATGGAGTTCGCAAAGAAATTTCTCAAGCCGTTTTCCACTGTTAGGATCCAACAACCACACAATTAACGATGTCCGAATCCCAAAACTAAAATATGACAATATCAGAACCAGAAACAAAAGCGATATGGTTCAAAAGACTAGAAAAGATCGGCTTTGTCAATAGACGCATCCCACTGGGAAATCAAACATGGCGGTTTGACGCTCACACCGAGGATTCTTGATGCATCTTGTGAGGAATCTGGCCAAAGTGGTCAAAGTAGAAGGCAGATGCATCAAAAAAAAAAAGTGTCCTAAACCCAGACAACATTTATTTTATAACAGCCTTCTGGAGTTCACCATCAAAAGTACAAATAGACACAAAAAAATAAGTAACTCAAAGCAAAACACCAAACATCTGCACAGAAGTCTCTCCTTGATGACACCTGCTTGCCTTTATACTCCACCCAGCAGGAAGTACCCCCCCCCCCCCCCCCCCCCCCCAGGTGAGTATCCAGGTAACTCCCAAAGCAAAGCAAGACCCCTTTCAAAATAAAAATATTTAACATAAACTAACATGAATTTAAAATGAGACAAAGGCCCACTTTATCACACATCTATTGAATTAAATTGTAGATTTATTTATTTATTTTTATTTTTTTTTAATGTGCAGCACTTTGGAAACAGTCTTTGTTATGAAATGTGCTAAAACGTCAGAAGTAAAGTGGACTGAATTGGATTGGAGGGTCCTGAAAAAATAAATAATAATAATTGAAGGGTCCTGCCATGACTTTATCTATGAGCTCTGTCTATAAACACTGAGGTCCTTTCCTTCCTGTTGCATGCTGGCTGCTGGTGCTTCTCGCCAACCAGCTGTTACATTTGGAATAATGAACAAGCACCGCGATAAATCATTATTTTTTAGATCCTGGTTTGACAATGGGATAGTGTGGGTTAATCAAGTGATCAATGCACAAAGACAAATGTTTTCATACAATGAATTTAAAGCTATCTATCACTTTCCAAGTAAACAACTTCAACTCAATTTTCAGCTCCAGAAACTTAATAACAATCTATATTTGGGAGAGGTCAATATTAAAATTAAAACATGTTTGAATAAATACATTAGAAATATTATTCAACCTCCAAACAGACCCCCCAGTAACTTCATACTGGAACTCATTGCACGGGGAGATTGACTTGGAGCAGGGACTTGGCTGGTTGGCGAGAGGCTCTGCATTTATAACAAAATTAAAGAAGTCAATTTCAAAATTCTTCATAATATTTACCCAGCCAAAAAAACGTTAGAAAGGTCCAAATTAAAGATTGATTACAACTGTGACTTCTGTCGCACTGAAAAACCAAACACGCGATCAGCCTCCAGGAAAGCGACGTCCTGTTCTTTTTCACCAGTCCCTCCGTCCTCAAAGATCTCGGATTCCTCATTCAGACTCTCATTATGCTGGCAAAATATCATATACACAAAACCAAATGGTCTCAAAATAAACCAAATATTCATCAATATAATATCGAAATATAACAATACTTTCAAACGATTAAACAGGTCCAAAACAAAAAAGCAGTTAAAACTTACAATATCTATAGAAAGTATAGTATAGCTTTATTTAATTTATGACATTATTATTATTTTTTTGTTTAGTTTTGGTTTTATTCCTTCTGCTTCCCTGTATGATAATTTGCAAACTACCCCCATAAAGTAGAAAAAAAAGACGAATGTATGTAGAGTTTTTATGTATGACTTTATGTGACTACTGAAAAAAAGTCCTGGTTTACGACGCGAGTATGTACTACGGGTGAACCAGATAAAAACCAGATTAAACCCAGTCTCAGTCCTGTTCCTGTTCCCGGTCTCAATCCTGGTCTCAGTTCTTGTCTGATCCCGGTCTCAGTCCTTGTCTAAGTCCTGGTCTCAGTCCCGGTCTGGTCTCGGACCTCGTTTAGTCCTGGTTTAGTCCTGGTTCAGTCCGGAGGCGCAAATAATTAAGAAAATTGTTGTTTGTTTTCTTATTTTTGGTTTTATATTGAAAAACAAGGTTCTTCTTCTGCCGCATTTTTCACTTTGACTTTGGTTTTATTACGACTTCATTCTCGTAATATTATAACTTTATTCTCATAATATTACGACTTTAATGTCGAAATGTTACGACTTTATTCTCGTAGCGCCAGCATTTTTAATTTTTTTTTTATCTGACCCTTATACTCCGTCTTAGTCGCATGAATGTATATGTATTCAGTGTTGGGAAGGTTACTTTTAAAATGTAATCCCCTACAGATTACAGATTACACACCCCAAAATGTAATTTGTAACGTAATCCATTAAATTACTTAAAGTGAGTAACGTAATCTGATTACTTTGGATTACTTGATATTGTCATGTTTTTTTTAAACGACATGAAATGTAGCAACCACATCCTCAAAATTCTTGTTTGTTGTCTTCAAATTGTCTGAGCCCAAGTCTCCATGAATAAGCGACTGTTTACTGTAGAGAAACAAAGACCACGAGATCTTAATATAAGAGGTTTTGTCTGTTAAAAGACAGTAACAAGATAAGCCTTTCCTTCACCAGATTAAAAAATATTATTGATAGAGAAATTATATGAGATCACCTTAAATTATGTCAACCTACTGTTAGGTGTCATGTTGTTTAGACCTGGTTTAGTCCTGGTTTAGTCCTGGTTTTATCCTGATTTTTAGACCTGGTCTAGACCAGGTCTTTAGTTCTGGTTTAGTCGTGGTTTAGTCCTAGTTTAAACCTGGTTCAGTCCTGCTTTAGTCCTGCTTTAGTCCTGGTTTAGTCCTGGTGTGTTAGTTCTGGTTTAGAGGCGCACAGGAGGAAGCGCGGTTTACGCGAGAAAACACGGTCCACACGCGGCGCACGAGACGGCGGTGCGCGCTGTAACTACGGAAGGAGACGTGGTCCGCGTTCTCAGGTGATGACGATGATGAAGGTGTTTGTGTGTGTTTGTGTTGTGTGTGTGTGTCCCCTCGGAGTGCAGATATTATGAGTCTATGCAGGTTGTTTTCACCAGTGCCAGTAGCTCCGGTTTCACATTTAAGTTGTTGGCGATTTTATATTTGTTTTTTTTTTTATATATATATCTCACATCGGGAGAAGAATTTCCAAGACACAAAAGCGTTTTTACCAATGCACTGCTGTCACTGTGTGACTGACACCGCCAACTTTTACATGACGTTTCCATCGCTCTTATTGCGCGCGTTCTGTTTGGGCTTCAGGCAATGAGTGAAATTACCGAAATAAAAAAAATAAATAAATGGGATGTAGCACAAAATGTGAAAACAGGAAAATACCGCCTTGTAATCCACTTATTTCAGCAAAGTAACTGTAATCCAATTACCACTCACTGAAACAGTAACTGTAACGGAATACAGTTACTCATAATTTGTACTCTGATTACGTAACGGCGGTACATGTAATCCGTTACTCCCCAACACTGCATGTATTTAAAAAAAAAAAAAAAAAAAAAATGCTGGCTGCAGGCTGCATGTTATCTCTTATCCGCTAGAGGCGCTCCCGTGGTTCTGTGCGCCATTGTTTTGCGGCTCCGTGTTGCTCTGCGCAGCGGGCGGAGAGAGAGCGGATGAAAATGGCGGACGGTGTGGATCACATCGACATCTACGCCGATGTAGAGGAGGAGGAATTTAACCAGGTAAACGCGATCTATTTCGGATTCACCTCCACTGGCGCGTCTTCTGTCGGTGTGCGCAGTTGTTTTATGTATTTAATATTGAGAAATGGCGCAGTCCCCGTGTCCGTCTGCGCACAGGCCCGGGCCACCACGCTGCAACCTTTAGCCCCATTAGCTTCTCTCCGTTTTTATTTGCTTAGATGTTTCGTTATCAGTATTTATTCCAGCGCACAGACCAAAACACGTGTATTTTCGCGTTTGTTGTTCAGTTTTGTGTTCATAGTGAAGTAAAGTGCGCGCTTCGTCGGGCCTCTGATGGCGGCCAAACTCTGTATTGTTAGCTGCGCTGTTAGCCTGATGCTCTTGCCTTTTGTAAATGACTTTAGACTGCAGATTTGCGCAAAGTTTTCATTTCTTCTGTGCAAATAAACACGGTTAACAAATTCAAATCGTTTGTCATTGTACTGTGGGAGTGTGTAATGTTTATGAGGCGGACTGTTTTGCATTGGCATCTTGTTTTTGCTCTTTATTTCCGCCCTTTTGCTTTCTCCGTGCTGCGTTTAAGGATAAAAAGTCAAAATAGTATTGCGATGTGTTACGTAAAATATATATTAAATTATATGTCCTTTTGCTCATTAATAATCACAGTAATATTCACTTTTCACGTGCGCTCATTGTTTATTTATTGTGCACCCCTTCCTGCTCAGTGATGTGCCAGTGCCCACAATGAAACTTAATCTTACTTTGTGGAATAAATATTTCCGTATTTTTAACCCTAGTCTAACGTGTTTGACAGGAGGCTGAATACCCGGTGCATGAGCAGATAGACCTGTACGATGATGTTATTTCTCCATCGGCCAATAATGGAGACGCCCCAGAAGACCGGGATTACCTGGACTCGGCACCAGGGGGCACTGAGGGAGGGAAAAGTGCCCCAGCCAATGCAGCGTACAACTACTCCGGCAAAAGGATCGCTCTGTACATAGGAAACCTCACATGGGTATGAATCAACTCTGTTTATGCAAAAGAAAAAAGTATATTAAAACAATGTTAACTTTGTAACACGTGGTGCCTGTGTGCAGTGGACCACAGATGAAGACCTCACTGAAGCAATCCGGTCGATTGGCATCACAGATGTGCTGGAAATAAAGTTTTTTGAAAACAGAGCAAATGGCCAGTCCAAAGGGTGAGCACCATGCTCTAATGTTTTAGGTTTTTAATATAAATAAGTATTTTATTTTCTTGTTATTTTAATATATTTATTGAATTGTGTTTAGGTTTGCTTTGGTTTGTGTCGGCTCTGAGGGGTCCTCCAGGAAGTTGATGGACTTATTGGCAAAGCGTGAGCTTCATGGTCAGAATCCTATCGTCACGCCGTGCAACAAGCAGTCCCTGAGCCAGTTTGAGATGCAGTCTCGTAAAAGTAATTAGCAAAATGTTATAGTGGAGCGACCTGGATCTGTCTCCCTGTGTACATGTTGACTATATGTAAAATGTTTTGTATGAATTTCTGGCTCAGGCACATCTTCAGGACAGATGTCTGGAGAAGGTAAGGCCGGCCCTCCCGGCGGCTCTCGTGGAGGATTCCCAATGGGCGGGAGAGGAGGCAGGGGCAGATACCCTGGACCCCCCGGACCTGGGGATCGCTTCCCTGGCCCTCCTGGCCCCGGGGGACCACCACCACACTTCCCAGGTACATAATGCAGAGACAAATTATGCACAGTCTACCAGTGCTGGTTTTCAATGTATCATGTTTATTTATTGTTTTCTATCTTTCAGGTGGAATGCAGGGTCCTCCACGGCCTCCTCCTGGACCCCCTGTTCATCCTGGGCCCCCTGGCCCCCCTCCTCCAGGTCAAGGTCTGCCCCCTCCCCTCGCCGGACCCCCAGGCCGTGGGGACAGACCTCCTCCGCCAGTGCTTTTCCCTGGTCAGTTTGGGCAGCCTCCTCTGGGGCCTCTGCCTCCTGGACCCCCTCCTCCAGGATACGGCCCTCCGCCTGGACCCCCTCCTCCTCAGCAGGGACCCCCACCTCCGGGCCCATTCCCCCCACGTCCCCCTGGTCCCATCGGCCCTCCCATGGCTTTAGGACCCCCTCCGCACATGCCCGGACCCCCTCCAGGAGGACCCCCACCTGCCCCACACGTGAACCCGGCCTTCTTCCCCCCGCCCGGCAACAGCATGCCCCCCAACGACAGAGGCCCCCCGGGACCTAATGACCCGTATGGGCGTCCGCCGCCGTATGAACGAGACTTTGGACACGGAGGACGGTGAGGCTAGACTCTTGTGTGTGTAGTGTGAACCGTGTGTGGACTCCAGCAGAGTCTGAGTTCTCTGTTCTCTCTTTAGGGACATGGATTCCTCTCGGGCCCCTCTAAGCGAGGCAGAGTTTGAGGAGATCATGAACAGAAACAGAGCCATCTCCTCTAGTGCCATCTCCAGGGCAGTGTCTGACGCCAGCGCAGGTAAACACTGTTTTTATATAACTCCACCTGATCCTTTAAAAGCATCTTCTCTAATGCTGGTGTGTTGTGAATCCAGCGGACTACGGCAGTGCCATCGAGACCCTGGTGACGGCCATCTCTCTGATCAAACAGTCGAAGGTCTCTGCAGACGACCGCTGTAAAGTGCTCATCAGCTCCCTGCAGGACTGTCTCCACGGCATTGAGTCCAAGAGTTACGGCTCAGCCAGGTAAACCCGCTCCTTCACCCCCTTGCCCCAAACACCCCACACTGTGGTTTAACCGGGCTGTCTGTGCCACTAGAAGAGAGCGCTCCAGAGAACGCGATCACAGTCGGTCGAGAGAAAAGAGCCGGCGCCACAAGTCTCGGAGCCGTGAACGAGATCGTCACGAGGATTATTACAGAGAGAGGAGCCGAGAAAGGGACCGGCATCGCGAGAGAGACCGGGACAGAGACAGGGAGCGTGAGAGGGAGTACAGGCACCGCTAACAGGTCAGTACCTCTGTGTTTATACTGTGTGTTTAAAGGGCATCTGTGTTCAGAGGAGAGTGGGTCAAACTGCAGGAGTACAGGTGAGTATAAGGTAAGTCTCATGACATTCATGTACTTTTGTGATTTCCTTATTTCTATTTTATTTGTGTACTAAATACTATAAGTATTAATACTATTGTGACTGAGTGCAGTTTATGACCTGATCACAGATCAGACCTGTGTGTATTACTCATCCTGTAAACTTGTGTTGTATTTATATTGAACTGCCCAAATGAATAACAAATTTAAACTAAATGTGAGAGTCTGGGAACAAGTTAATATAACTGTAAATGTAACTTGAATTTGCTGGGTCTCCATATAGATACAGTTAAAAACAAAAGTATTTTTAATATTTTAAATTTTCAGTATGAATGTGCTGTTACCGATTGTTCATTGTTTTTGCTAAAATACTGCACATCATATAAAATAAGTGATTGGAAATGACCGTACTGTGAGTGTTTTAATGAACTGTATGTTTGAGGTCTCTGAATATTTCACTGCGTATTTGCTAAAAATATTTAGACATTTTAAATGTGCAATGCAGTTGAATTTGTAAGAAGTTAGAATCCACAATTAAAACTAAAATTAAAAGAAACTTAAACTGGTAATTGATTAAACTCCTTTTGTAAATGTGTATTGTCTCTAAGTGATAAAGGAGCATTTATAATTGTTTAAAGGGTGGTTTTGACCCTGTCTTTATGACAGACGATCTGTGAATGTCACTAAAAGCTGAAATGAATTGATGCACTGAGCACAGAGCAGGTTCCACTGAAACTAATGCTGTTGTATTGTGGTATGTGGTCCTTTGCAAACAGCCTTTGTTGACCATGTTTTTGATGTTGTACATGATATTTCCCATGCCCTGGTTTTGCCAAAGATGTTTCTGTCTGACAAATTGTGACTTTTGAGTCTTATACCAATCCCTGAAACACAAAATCCAAAAAACCAACCTGAATTAGAAACATGTTTGTAACAGAAGTGTTGTATCAGAGGCTTGTCTGTGGTTATTGAACCTTTTGAAATGAAATACAAGTTTATAGTTTCTGTGCCAAGTTGTTATTGTCAAGAGTTTTGAAATGTCTGCTAACGTGTATAAGAGCATAGGGGAGATTGCTACTATTATTATGCTGCTAAAGTTACATGATAGTTTGATTTGAAATGGTGTATGTACAGTGGAGTCATTAATTTGATAATTAACCCAATTTGTTCATTGTTTTACTAAAGGGTAGGACTTCTACTTGTCTTTTGTCCTTTTAGAACACAGTAATTTAAGTGTTTGAACATGGATGTGTCAGGTTTGTGTGGGAATTGTAGGTGGTGAATAATGTTTTTACAGATATTTAAAACAAAGCTATCTTTAGGGTTTTATGATTGTAGTGGGCAGTTTTTATACTGAAGGAGTTTGTCAAACCAGGATCAACCAGGCTTTGCATGTAAACAAGATGTTCCAATGTAACTTTAACATTGATGCCCGAATGTTTATATAGTTGAGTCTGAAATATAAAGTGATCAGGGGTGTCCACACGTTTATCAGAGGGCCACAGACTGGTGCGGTCACCTCCCTTTAATTCAGTGACTCGCTCAATAACTTGTCATAGTTTCAACTATGATAAGTCCGTCTTTGCTCTTAATGGAGTTAAAATCACATAGTCACAAGCATTTTTATTAAGTTGCTGTTTGAATCCAAAGTATCCCAATTTTGATTGTCTGCATTTGGCCCCCTGGCCACAGTTTGGACACTCCTGAATAGATGAAAACCAGCCTCTCCAAGGTAAGCAGTAACTGACATAAAAAACTGTATTTGTCATTGATCACTTGTATCTGTGGGACAAGAGTTGAGTACATGATACATCAGTACATTAAAATATTGTGGGAAAGGGTTTTATTTCAGTAGTTCAAGTGAATTTTGATTCATACACTTTAAACATTACAGTCTAATTATTGTAATAATGATAATAAATCTCCAAGCTTCATCATTAAGTGTTGAACATGTGACCCGTTTTACATGTTTAAATCCTAAAATAATGCCTCTTTTCCACAATATTCTGAGTTGTTGTGCACCTGTTTGACCCTGGTTTGGTTATTCGTGTGGATTACAATATTTGTAAGTGTAAAACTTTGGTAATGTTTTGCTACAAATGTGCATAATAGTCTGCATGCACCATCCCTGGTACATGGAAAAGAATGGCCTTAAAAATATTTCACTGATTTATCATTTATTATTAGATACAGTTTATTACATTTAAACTCATGTTGTTCACTTAAGTAAACATTTGCCACATGTGCGATACCATTGTCCTGCATGTACCTTTCTGTGTATGTTAAATAGACACTGGTTTAAAATCAGAATAACTTAATATTATTTATATATAATATTGACTCTGAACAGCGTCAGAGTCCTACAGCGTAACTGCTTTGACCTTTCTTTCTCTTTGTAGTTTTGTGATCTGTCTTTTGTCCTTTTGTTTCTGTCTCAAATGAAGTAGTTTTTATCTGTTCATTTATGTTTAGTTTCCAACTCAAGTTTCACTGCTAATATTCGCCCTAAATGTTTGTCGATTTTATACAGTAATATTCAAACCAGTCGCCAAGTGGCTTGATTAAAGTTGAATATCTGAATTTCACAATGGCTTGTGCAAACTGAAGCCTAATGTACATGTTCTTACCCACGTGGATGCACTGGCCACAGGCCATTAAACATCAGTATAAACAAAGTCAAATTTAAATGTTTGTAAAATGAGATTAGCCTTTATGTGTCCCACAGTGGGAGGATTACAGTACTGTGTACTGAGTACTGTGTACTCTGCTACAGAGGGCTAATGTTTGTAGAAGGGCAAATTTAATGTATACTTTTAAATATGTTTATAGTTTATCGTGGGCTACTGTGGGTTACCATGGTTTGGGGAGGGTGTTGTGAAGAGAATGAATTTTAATGATTGACAATCATATGTTTATATGCTGTTATTGTGCATGATCTTTGTGTCTGCGAGGGTTGGGTCAACACTCTTCAACAGGAAGTCCTTTTCTTTCTGAATCTGTCAAATGTTTTAAATGAACTGGATGTTTATTTATTATTTTAACCAAAACTGGCCTCTTCTCTGGTGATTGCGTTGTGCCCAGCCCTGGCTGCACTGTGGACTAGTGTAGACTTTACTGGTGTTTAGGGGAAATGTTATTGGGAAGCCTCCAACCAAACTCCACCCTTCATTCTGACACATTTCAGCTCACGAGGATCAGGACGAGGAAGGATCAGGACGGACGGCGCCTGACGGACTCCTCTTCCTCTGCTCCTCTTCCTCACCTCCTCTGACCGCTGTGGAGCCTTCACGCTGTAAGCCTGTTATAAACACACTATACTCATGGTTGACTAAAGATGAAAGAAACTTTCCAAATTGCTCTTTTATTTTTATGACGTTTTATTTCACAATGAAAGTGATAAAGTGTGATGCTCTTTGCATAAAACTAGAAACAGCCCACAGCTCCCTCTAATGGACAATGCAGATATATTCTCTTGCTTTATTTTACGTTGCCTCTTGTACTGTGTACATTCAGTTTAGACATTAGTTTTTATAGAGTACATATTTGATGTTGTTCTCCTCCCCTCCCTCATTCTCATTTACTCTTTCCATGGTTAGAATGTTTGTAAATGTCTCTGCTTTTGAATAAATCTGATGGTGTTGTAATAAAATGTTTACTGAGGTAGACTGTGCTTTTGGCGATTTCCTCTACACCAGGGGTCTCTAACCTTTTTCCTCAGGTGAGCTACCTTTACAAAACAAAAATTCCAGAGAGCTTCTCATTTTAGCTGTCGCAGGAAATAAAGTATACAGAAGAGCCATGGCATGGCTTAGATGGGGTACAGTTAGATAAAACATAAACCATTATTTGAGTGCACAAAGTCGGGCATCAAAATGATAGATTTACAATAATAGGTATTTAATTCATCAAATTTGAGTTATTTGGGAAAATATGTGTATTTCAGAAATCCCTTGGTGAGCTAATTGAAAGGGGTGGAGAGCTGCTGGTGGCTCCTGAGCTACAGGTTGGAGACTCCTGCTTCTACACTGTAGCTGCGTTTATATTAAATGTGAATTTGGCCTTAAGGATGTTTTCATATCAAAGCGGGTTTGTAGGAACTGTGTGAAAAATGGCTATTTTTAAATTGTAAGTCCTAATACGGTGTAGCTATTGCTCCTAAAACACATCTTTTAAGTTGTTCTATGTAGTATAATGTTTGTACATTCGTTGATATTTCTTTCTCTGCTTTAGTTTTCCCAGTGGTAACTGTTTTTGACGCAAATGTAAATTTTGCTACAGTTTCCACGTATGTGTGCACTGGTTGTACAGTTCACATGCATTAAGGGCCTTTTATGAATTTGGTCCAGTAATTTTTGTGTACAAACCTTCAGAGTGTGTTCTGTTTGTGTGGGACCAGTGTTAAATGCTTTTGCCATTTGAAGTTTAACTAGGCCACTGTTAAAGTGCAAGACATTATTGTCCCTTCAATGTTCCCATATTTCTCTAAATTGTAGATCAGCCGTTCATCCTGCTTCTGAAAACAAAACAATTTCATATCATGTGGTTCTGCTGTCAATGGCACCAACATTTTATTGCTTTATAAATAGTGTTTCTTTTGGAGAAAATATCTGGGTTCACCAAATTGTCTTGTTTATTTCTGCCTGTTTAACGTTTCCTCCTGCAGCTGTTCAGGTAAGTGTTTTCAGCTCTGTGCCTGTGGGAGCGACTGCAGCCGACCCAGCTGGAGTCCATGGTATAACTTAATGCTTACAGGTCGTGTAAACTTACAATTATTGACCAGCTAGAAACATTACCTAAATATATTTTCTATACTGATAACCTTTTTTCTGAAATTACTTTGAGAGATTGTTTTTTGCCAGAAATGGTGAATCTGTTCAGTCTGACGATCAAATAAAACTGAAATCCAAAACTGATGGGTCTTTTTGTTTTTGTTTTTCTTTCAGTTCTTACGTTACTAATTTAATGTACATAATAATATAAGTGAATAAGCAGTGTCAATAGAAAACTGATTCTAGACATTGCATTATTTTTGGTCTAATGATAATGTAGTTGGGTTAGTGCTGAAGAGTGGATGATATAAATTGGGTAATGAGTAATGTGACCATGTGAAATTATAAATTGGAATTACTTGGTCTATAGGTATACAAAGGGTATAATATAAATCAGTTTTGGCAAATTATTTAATATATTGTAGAACAAATGCACAGTTTGAGGTTTAAAGATTGTGCCATTTATATGCTCCTGGGACCTGAAGAAAAAGTGTATTGCAGTATATATTTTTTGTGATTTTTCTATCAATTTGGAAGTAAATGAACACTTTAGCATTTAAATTTTGTTCATTTTATTTATAATTTTGGAACATGTCCTCAATAATAGACACCGGGGACGTTTTGGTGTTAAATCCACCCTAACAAAACTTTTTTGATGACAAACATCTCTGACAAGCTTCTACAGTCACCTCAAAACGTTTTTAGACTCCCTTTTAATTTCTTTTTTTTAAATCATAGTGCAGCCACAAACTAACTCCTACAGTTTTTATTTTTTTATCCTGGACATGATCCATCCATCCATTTTCTTCCACTCTTGGAGGCAGCAGTCTAAGCAGGGACTCCCAGACTTCCTTCACCCTGGACACTTCCTCCAGCTCCTCCAGGGGGGACCCAAAGGCGTTCCCAGGCCAGCTGGACATGAGAGTACCCTATAATCCCCTAGCCCAATTTAGGCAGAGGAACCTAGTCCCCCCATTAAGAGTGTCAAATCTCAAAACACTTAAAAGATAAACTGGTTAACTCAGTGTCCACTATGACATAAGGACAGAAATGAATGGGGCCGAGTCTCAGGAGGATATATGGAAGATAATCAGATTTTGAATTTCAAATGTTGCTGAATTTCACACGTTGAATTTTTAAATTCTGAAATAGCATGTTCTGAATTTTAGTTGCTTAAATTTTAAGTGTAGTGTTCAAATTCAATATACAAAATAACCTTTTAATAAATATTGAGCGCAAATATTTTCCATCCATCCATTTTCGTCCGCTTATCCGGGGCCGGGTCGCAGGGGCAGCAGCCTAAGCAGGGACTCCCAGACTTCCTTCACCCCAGACACGTCCTCCAGCTCCTCTGGGGGACCCTGAGGCGTTCCCAGGCCAGCTGAGAGACATAGTCCCTCCAGCGTGTCCTGGGTCTTCCCCGGGGCGTCCTCCCGGTGGGACATGCAAGGAACACCTCCTGAGGGAGGTGCCCAGGAAGCATCCGAAACAGATGCCCAAGCCACATCAACTGGCTCTTCTCGACGTGGAGGAGCAGCGGCTCTACTCCGAGCTCCTCCTGTGTGACTGAGCTCCTCACCCTATCTCTAAGGGAGCGCCCCGCCACCCTGCGAAGGAAACTCATTTCGAGCGCTTGTATCCATGATCTCGTCCTTTCGGTCACTACCCAGAGCTCATGACCATTGGTGAGAGTAGGAACGAAGACTGACCGGTAAATCGAGAGCTTCGCCTTTCGGCTCAGGTCCTGCTTCACCACAACGGTCCGATACAGCAACGCTGCACCGATCCGCCTATCAATCTCACGTTCCGTCCTCCCCTCACTCGTGAACAAGACCCAAGGCAAATATTTTAAAGCCCTCAAATTCAACAGACAAAATTCAGAGTGTAAAACATTTGCAGCAAAGATCCAAGATGCTTAAGTAATCAATTCAAAGTGATCAGAACTAGTTTAGTAACAAAGCATATAGATCTATAATAAAAAGAAAGGCCCACGTATAAGAATACAACAATATTTTCAAACAATAAAACGGGTCCAAAACAAAAAAGCTGTTAAATCTTACAATATCTATAAGAAGTATAGTATAGCTTTATTTAATTTATGACATTAATTATTTTTTTTATTTTGTTTAGTTTTGATTTAATTCCTTCTGCTCTCCTGTATGATAAATTGCAAACCACCCCCGAAAAAAATAAAACAAAACAATAAAAACATTGGCCTCGAGCGGAGCGGAACCATTGTCAAACACTGCTTTCCACCCGGATGATGCGGGCAGTTGCACTTCCGGCTCTTGTTTTGGCTGGTAGTTTGAATTGAGACCGAGAGCTTTATAAGTTCTCATTTTTGGCTTCTAAATGGACGTAAATTTGGGAATAGATTATTTCCGCGGAGCGACAATAATCTAAGGTTTTTAATTTCACGCATTTTTCTATAATATGTTCAAAAAGATGAGTGAATTTGGCCCAGATTCCGGAGGGAGAGTTAAGGTATTTCGCCTTTAGTTTCATGTCTTTGTTGTATTTATGAGATATTGGTTGTACAATTTGTATTTTTTACTGTTTTGTTTGTATTCTTTGACTGACAGGGGATCACGATTGTTAAACCAATTGTGTTTGGAAATGTTGCCCGCTATTTTGGAAAGAAGCGAGAGGAGGATGGACACACGCACCAGTGGTCTGTTTACGTGAAGCCTTACAGGAACGAGGTACAAAAACAAAACAAAAAACTACAAAAAACACATAGACTGTTTAAAGAATATATATACAGTCTGTGGAAAAAAAAAAAAACACAATACACTCCTACACTCTCTTTGAAGAATTTTTTTTGTGTGTGTGTGTGTGTTATTTGCTAAGGTGTCAGAAAGAAAACGTAATACGCTTTACCAATGAATCAATCAATAAAAAAAAAAAAGACTCTATCACTTAGTAATCTATAATGGTTTTATATTAAGTATGACATTCATCCATCCATTTTCTTCCGCTTATCCGGGGTTGGGTCGCGGGGGCAACAGTCTGAGGAGGGCCTCCCAGACTTCCTTCTCCACACACACGTCCTCCAGCTCTTCCAGGGGGATCCTGAGACGTTCCCAGGCCAGTAGAGAGACATAGTCCCTCCAGCGTGTCCTGGGTCTTCCTCAGGGCCTCCTCCCGGTGGGACATGCCCGGAACACCTCCCAAGGGAGGCGTCCAGGAGGCATCCGGAACAGATGCCCGAGCCACATCAGCTGGTCTCCTCTCAACGTGGAGGAGCAGCGGCTCTACTCCGAGCTCCTCCCGTGTGACTGAGCTCCTCACCGTATCTCTAAGGGAGCGCCCAGACACCCTGCGGAGGAAACTCATTTCGACTGCTTGTATCCGCGATCTTGTCCTTTCGGTCATTACCCAGAGCTCATGACCATAGACGATGACGTTCAATAACTCGTATTATATGTAACTCATCAAGTACACATTAACTAATTAAATGGTATAAACAGGGCTGTGCAGTAAATATGGGACGATATTGAAATTTGGTGTCACGATTGTCATGGCATAACAAAATTGCGATTAACGATTATATCACGATAATTATTAAAGTTACTGACAGTTTAAAAATGTTGTGGATATGAATAATTATAATTTCAATATTATGAGTAGGTGTCATATTTAAACAGTTGTTGATCTAGAAGAAAACATCAAGGATAAGTAGCTTTTTTCTGCATAATCTGTAGTGGTGTAATGATAACCAAATCTCACGATACGATATCATCACGGTATGAAGCTCATGGTACACAAAATATCACAATAAATATCATATCGTGAAAATATCGTACTGAGAGATTTGGATATTGTTACATCCCTAATCATGAACCTCCCCACCATATCGTGAGCTTTCTCATGATATCGCAATAAATATTGTACTGTGAGGTTCATACCATGAGGATATCGTATCGTGAGACTTGGATATCGTTACACCACTAATTAACACTGATTTAACTTTTTGTATTTTCAGGATATGTCTGCCTACGTAAAGAAGATTCAGTTTAAACTACACGAAAGCTACGGGAACCCTTTGAGAGGTTAGCTGACCTGTTTACTATTATTATTATTATTATTTATGTATTATTATTATTTCTGCCTGTCTTTGCAAGGAATGTTTAAATCATTTTTGAACTTTCAGTGGTGACCAATCCCCCATACGAGATCACAGAGACTGGATGGGGAGAGTTTGAAATAATCATCAAGATCTTCTTTATTGACCCCAATGAGAGACCTGTAAGAGCCGTGTGGTTTTATACAGAAAAATGCATCCACTTCTACTATTATCATCTTATTTATTTGTGCTAATTTCCCCTGTAGGTCACACTGTACCATCTACTGAAGCTTTTCCAGTCTGACTCGAGTGCAATGCCCAAAAAGACTGTGGTTTCAGAGTTTTATGATGAAATGGTAAAGTGAATATTTATGTTTTAGTGTTATAGCTGTAATAATTTAACACACTGGATAACTATGAGAAGAACTAGGCTTGAATCTGTGTATTTTTTACTTCAGATTTTCCAGGATCCTACAGCCATGATGCAGCAGCTTTTGACCACATCGAGGCAACTCACTTTGGGGGCGTACAAACATGAGACTGAATGTATGTATGAACACAAATCGTCTCTTTTTTTCTCTCTATTAAACCTTATATTGTCCAGATAGATAAACAAACAAACACTGAACTATAATATAAACTAATACTCTACATCCCTAACCTTAATCCACCTTATTACTGTATTTTTCGGACTATAAGTCATGCTTTTTGGGGGAAATTTATTTATAAAAGCAGAGACCAGGAACCGACATTTCATCTTAAAAGTCAAGTTACAGTAAAAACAATAGAACAGAGAACAACAGCCTGTTAACGTCACATATGAACAGTTCTTCAGATAAACTATAACATAAACAACAGAACAGAACAAGTTTAACAAACTCTCCATCTCACTCCAAATCACTAAATCCATTCAGTTCTTCATCCTCGGTGTCACTTCTGAGCAACTCCACGACCTCCGGAGGTAAACAGAGCGCCGCTTCCTCTTCTGTGTCGCTGTCGTCAGACTCAGCATCAGTTCTAGTTAGAATTATTCCGGCCTTTCTGAATCCCGACAGGATGGTTTCTGTTGTCTTTATTGTTTGTTTAAATTTTAAATTGTCAGTGATACAGAAGTAATGATGCGATTGACTGACATGGTACTAGGCAGCACAGTGGCTTTTTCTCTTTCTTGTGTGAAGTGACAGTGGACAGGAGCACACAAGCCTAGAACCTCTCGTGGGTTTAGTGTGAACATTTTAACGTATAAGTTGCACCAGTGTATAAGTCACAGGAAACGCCCAAACCATGAAAAAAGTGCGACTTGTAGTCCGAAAAATACAGGACTCAAAGTGGAATCTGTACTGATAGATTTGACTCGTCAATAGTTTCTGTATTCAACAAATACACACCAATGCTCACCAATAAAATTATTTGTCATAAATTTGAAGATGACACCCTGTAAATTCTGGAAAATGTCACCCAATGTTCCTCTATCTTTTTGAAATTTTAAATTACTCCTCAAAAGGGCTGGGTATCATTAAGAAGTTGCTGATATGATACATACCTCGATACAGTGAGCTTTCGATACGATATATTTCAAAACTTTTTGATACAGTTCAATAAAAAATAAAGGCTAAATCATGGTTGTGTTAAACCACTTCTTGTGTAAACTTCATATGAAACACATTTTAACCATCAACACAGTGAAAATGTCAAATGTGTTGCATAAGTTTCCTTCCTCTAAACAAACAACAAAACTGTAGCTCTGTAACAAAATAATTTAGTAAAATATACCAAAAAATACTCTTGGTGATATATCGATACAGCAGCCCACAATATCGATACTGTATCATCACATTAAGCGATACAATATATCGATATTTCAATATTTTTGAACCCTACATCTCATAGATCATTCTTCATATGCATATTACCAAAACTCATCAAGTACCATTAAATTTGGTAACTCCAAATCCAAAATCTGGTCAAACTTATTAATTACGGTCACTACTATTGGTATAAACGCTTCATATGTTGTTACTCAGGTTCTTTTTTTTTTTTTTTTTTAGTTGGTGAACTGGAGCAGAAAACGAAAGAAAAGGTAGAAGCTGCAAAGAAGAGAACGAGTCAGGAGATCGCCGAGCTGAAAGACAAACTCAAGGCCAGTCGAGAAAACATCAACCACCTCAAATCTGAAATCCGAAAGCTGGAGGAAGACGGGGAGCAGAAAGAGCACTGACTGTAATAAACCTCAACAAATCAGATCATGCAACAGGGATGTCTGTGTTTAAACAAAAATATTGACTTTTTAAAGACGGCCCGGGACTTGAAAAGTCTGTTTTCTCTCAACATTAAATGAGTTAAAAGATGTAACTTTGCTCGTTTCTATGGAGATGCTGCTGCTTTCCCTGGTATGTTTCTGTGGTACGGTGCAAAACTTTTCTATCGTGCATTTTTTCCAATTTCTGAGCTCGCCTCTCCAGTCTCCACAGACCTGACTTGTAAGTGCCACCTCCATGGAAATATGTTTAATGCCGTAGTACGGAACATCCCAGACAAAGCTTTAACCTCTCAATTGAGACATGCAGAGGAGTTATATCGTTAAATAACAAACATGTTCTGTTCACTGACTTCGTTTTGGTTTAATGTTTTTATTTCTAGACCCAGTTTTCTATGTAAATTTTTTATAATTTTAAGTAATTTGTAATATTCTGCTGTAACATAAACATGCCTGCCTGGACTTAAACATTTTGTAATAAATATGTTACAGACGTTTTGTACAATTTTGACAGTTCTCGCTTTTTTTTTCCTATTGCACTTGAACGCCTCTAACAGGAAGTACACTGCAAACTTTCATTGCTGCTTCATGTGACCAACTTCTGTGTCCTCTCACCACCCCATACATAACTTTTAACACGAATAAGGACTGTAAAAGAATGGTGCTGAGCAGAAAACGATATGAGTTCAGTGTTACGTAACGCTACGCAGCTGTTTACGACGTTCAGTAACTTTAAAAAACACACCAGGAAACTGAACTTACTGCTTATAGCCAAAGTTGTCCAGACCCAAGACGTGAAATGGCAGCATGATCGGTAAGAAAAGTGCAAAAACTAAATTATATACGCCTTAAGAAATACGTACAAGGCTGTCAAAGTGATCGGTTTGTATTTTATCGACTTTTTGCGTGTTAAAAGTTAACAAACTTTGGCTGCAAATGCATAGCTTAACCATAACACAACACGAAAATTAACTTATATTTTTATTTATTTATCATATTTATTGAAAAACATTGCATTTGCCATCGACTATAATAATTTTAACTTTGCATTCGTATTTATATTTACAATTTTGACAACAAATTTATAGCTTAACTATAATGCAGCACAAAAATTTATTTATATTTTTATGTATTTATTTATCATATGTATTAAAAAACATTGCATTTGCCATTGACTATATTAATTTAAAATTTTGACAACAAATTTATAGCTTAACCATAACGCGGCGCGAAAATTAATGTATATTTTTTATTTATTTATCATATTTATTTAAAAAAAAACAACAACAACAAAAAATTTGTATTTACTATAATAATTTTAACTTTGAATTCGTATTTCTCTTTACAATTTTGACAACAAATTTATAGCTTAACCATAACGCAGCACGAAAATTTATAATATATCTATTTTTTATGTATCATATTTATAGATTTATAGATTTGCCATTGACTATAATCATTTTTACTCTGTATTCGTATTTTTATTTACAATTTTGACAGCAAATTCATAGCTGAACCCTAACGCGGCACGAAAATTTCCTTTTTTTAAAATTTGTTTATCATATTTATAGAAAAACATTGCATTTTCCATTGACTATAATAATTTAAACTTTGCATTTGTATTTCTGTTTACAATTTTGACAACAAATGCATAGCTTAAACATAACGCGGCACGAAAATTAATTCATATTTTATTTTATTATTATTATTATTATTATTATTATTATTATTATTTTGTCATATTTATTGAAAAACATTGCATTCGCCATCAACTATAATAATTTAATCTAATTTTAACGTTCGTATTTTTATTTACTTCCAATTAAAGTTATTTTTACGCAGTCACAGCAGAGGTCACGTGACTGGTTATCGCGCCTACGTCAGAGGGACAGAATTAATCCTTGGCTTTCAGCTCTTGCGAACCTTAAAGCTGCTGTTTTGGCTCTGACATTTACATTTTAAAGCCGTTTCTCTTTAACATTTTCTCCCCCCCTCTGCGCCTCTTGTTGCTGCACCGCGACACGTAATGTTTTGAGTGATGCAAACTGCGTGGGATTGCTCAAGTCTGCGTAAATCTCCTTATTTAGCGACTGTTTTACAAACCTGGATGCAGGAAAACATGTCGCGGAGCTGAAGAAAGCGCTTGAGGTGATCTTTGGCGTTTAACTTTTGAGGTAAGGAGAGTTAGACGTGCATGGATGTCTCGCTGCTGCTACACCGTTTCTTTGCAGCATCATTGCGTAAAAATATAAATATGGGGATTTTGTTTGGATTTCTGTGTCCAAAATGGGCACTCGTTTTGGTTTAAAAGTAATTTGGTTTAAAAGTTGCAGCGTATTTATTTGACAAGACCTTATTTCGTGTGTTTTTATGACCAATTTAAAGCAGTCTGTGTATAAAATGCAAAAATAAATAAGCTTCAGGATGTTTTTTAAAGGTCCACTGTAACTTTTCTAGTAGTGTCCACCAGTTGTGAGCACGGAGATGTTCTTTTTTTGACTGAAATGTTCCACAGTAAGGCTTTAAAAATGTGTATCTAGCATTTATGTGATTACAGCCTGGAGTTTATATGTAGAAATGCTTTGAAAATGTAAATATGAGCAGCATCGCCTCTTCACATACCTAACCGGTTTATAGCTTGTTCAGGTGACTTGGTTTTTCCTGCTTATCTACATGGATAAGGCAATGACATCTCCATGGATACAACAACGTAGATGGTTCTAAGCCGGAAAAGTTGCACAGCGCACCTTTAAGCAGATAGTTTATGAAAGCAGTTCTTGATTTGAGGTTGGGTTTTTTGTTTTTTTATTCATGTGACCACATTTGAGCACTTCCTGTTAGAGCATTTTTTTGGTTTAGTAAACTCAGCCTGTGTAAGTTAAATTTTTTGCATCTTCGGCGTGGGTTTATATATGGAAAATTCAAGTCGCAAAACATGAAACTAATCATAACTTCGAATCAGTGATAGTTATATGAGTCAGTGTTTCTTTTGTGTTTGAATCTGCACCATCAACTGGCTTGTTTGATTTGTAGTATGGCTTGGTAGAGGTGGGGACTTACAGGTCGTGACTTGGACTCAAATCAGACTTGAGTCACTATTTTTAGGATTTGAGACTTGACTTGATAAAATGGACTAAGACTTGGGACTCAACTTGGACTTAAAGGTCAGTGACTTGGGACTTGACTCGGACTTGAGAACTGGGACTTGAGAAGCACTTTTAAATCTGAATTCTTTCTATTCTGACTGTAATGATTCACTCTAAGATCTTGTCAAGACATTTAAAAAGAAAAAAATGACCTTTCTACAACTCTTATATACTCTATAAATACTCATACATAAATATACTATGATTTTTTTAATTACAATTTATCTTAAAAGTCAAATAAATTGCAAAAATCTAAGATATATTGGTTAGAGACTTGACATGACTTGAAGATCAAAGCAGACGACTTGCACTTGACTTGGACTTATGGGCCAGTGACTCGAGACTCGACTTGGACTTGCCTGTATTTGACTTGGGACTTGACTCGGACTTGAGGCCAAAGACTTGAGACTTACTTGAGACTTGCAAAACAACGACTTGGTCCCACCTCTGTGGCTTGGACACCTGTGAGCTACTTGGAGTGATTTATTTCGTTTCTTTCACACTTGTTTCAGTGTTTATAACCTGAGTTCTTCTCTCAAACAGAAAACACTCCACCTCGTTCCACCTTGTGATGTCATGGGTAATACAGGGTGCGTTCAACTGTGTTTTTAAACTCCATCCACCTTCACTAGAATCATTTGGATCATTTCAGCTCTGGAATTTCCAATCTCTACCGAACAAAAGGTCAAAAGTAGCTGCCATGACATCACAAGGTGGAACAGAGCATTTTGAGCTTTGGAGACGTAGACAGACTAATAATAAAGGATTTTACTCAAACATGTGTGAATGAAACAAAACAAAACACAACTCCGGGTCTGTTTTTGAGGAGGTAGCAACCGCATTTCCGTCACACTCCCAAGAATTCAAGCACAAAACATATTTCTTCATGTTGTCTGCACTGAAATGAATCATGGGAGATGTAGTTTTCTTTGTTTTTAAGCTGTTGCTACTATAAAACCATGCATTTAAGCAAAGAAACTTGTGATTCGATATATTGTGACAGTCCATGATATTATTGTGAGACTTTTGACGATACAATATCACGATATTTTGGTTATTGTTACATCCCTAGAGACTTGTGATTCAATATTTTGACAGTCCATGATATTATTATGAAATTGTTTATGATACGATACCACAATAGTTTGGTTATTGTTATATTCCTAGTGGGAAGTGAATTTAAAGGTCATATATTTTACAAAATTAACTCTTGAGAGCTCTAAGCCATGTTATAATGTTGTTAAGTCCTCAAAAACAGACCTGGAGTTGTGTTTTGTTTCTTTCACACATGTTTGAGTAACTTTATAACACGACTTAAAGCTCACGAGAGTCATTTTTGCGTACTATAGGACCTTTAACAACACTTCTCTAGTATTTCTTGACTTGCTGCTGCATCGGTTGTTATGACAGTGTTGGCCTCGCTGTTGTCCTCAGGTCTTTGTTGTGGTCGGGTTCACACTGGTCCATTGTCGTCCTGCTCGGTGTAGACAGCAGTCACAGTCCATTCATAGTGAGTGCATCATCAGCAGAGAGCAGCTTCAGTGTGTGGGCCCATCTAGAGCAGGGCTGTTGTGAAAAGAGTCGAAAATCTGAATCTGAAACTGAAACTAGTACAGAAACTAGATATTTACATGAGCTGGTATCGATACTAAAAGCTTTCCTGAATCGCTTTAGAATGATCTCTGGGGATCCATATTTTAAAACTCACAAACCTGCACGACCCGAGTCAATAGACATTATTCATAAATTACAAAATAAAGGTGGATTTGACCATTATTGAACATTAATGCGGATATTTTATTGTTGACTGGGTGATCTTGTCTCTCAGAACAATTAGTATTACTCAAGTTTTAAACAATTAACCAACAATAAAAGGATCCATAAGTCGTCTATTTGGACATTAAATGTAGCTCATTTCTTTTTCTTTCCAACATTCAATTGAACCAGCATTATTGGAACAAATTAGCCAATAAAATAATTACAAAAAGATGAGAAATGATACAAAACATGTCTTAACATTTCTAATGAGATAGGTGGGCCTGTCGTGTTTTGTAGCATGTTCCAGTTCAGGTGCAGGAGGAGAGCGCAGCAGCATTTCAGGCCCAGCATTCAGTCTGTTTCTGTGCTTGGTAGCACAGAAAATCCCAATTCACTAGGGGTGTAACGATATCCAAGTCTCACGTTACGATATTGTCATGATATGAACCTCACGGTACGATATTTATTGCGATATCGTGGGAAAGCTCATGATGTGGTGGGGAGGCTCACGATTAGGCATGTAACAATATCCAAATCTCTCTGTATGATATTTTCACAATATACATCTCACGATATGGTATTTATTGCGATATTTTGTGGAGGCTAAACAGCTAAAACTGTTAAAATGCCTTGACAAGACTTAATCCCAAAGAACTAAGACTGAAAAGTGTTTAGAACTGTTATTTCTTCATGTAGTCTACACTGAAATGGAGCAAAGGATCATGGTCTATGTAGTTCCCTCTTTTTTTTAATCTATTGCTGCACCATAACTTTTCAATTTAAGCAAAGAGACTTGTAATTTGATATATTGTGACGGTCCACGATATTATTGTGAGAACTTTGATGATACGATATCACGATATTTCAGTTATTGTTACATCCCTACTATTCACACACATATATGTAGTAGTGAAAGGAATAAGGATAGAGATACTGGCCTTACTGAGGACAGGACATTCTGACGAAATCCAGAATCTTATCCAGAATGACGATGATATATTCACTGACTCACTCGCTCTCTCATGTGTCAGAACTGTATGTTGCAGACCTACATGCAGATCGTGACAAGGCGACCCAAAAAAAAAAATCTCTTGCCTATAGGTCACAACCCAGTATTTGGGAAACAATGGACTAGTATACACCCATGGACCACTGTGGAACCTACTTGGACGACTGAGGGATTATGCCGATAAATGGGCACATGGGAATAGAAAAGAAAGTACTATAATTTAATGTTGAAAATCACATTCAAGTGTCTAAAGAAAGAGTGTTTTTATCATCTTTGTGGTGTCATGGTATTGGAATCCGTACTGATTATCAAGTCTATTCTTTCGTGTTGATATAGAGTTTGAAATTTTAATAAAATCGTGACAACACTGACCTAGAACAGTTTCCCAGTTAGGGGTATGGGGACCTCTAGTGGTACACCAGAGGATGGCAGGAGCAGGGGCTTATTTTGCCAGTTTTATTTGTTTATTTCTGCAGATAAAAATGTTAAATGCGATGCTCATGATGGTGGTCTGCACTGAAACAAAGCAAAGGATCATGGTCTTTGTAGTTCCCTCTGTTTTCAGTTTTAACAATGAATTTACGAGACTTGTAGGGATGTAACGATATCCAAATCTCTCGGTACGATCTTATCACGATATGCATGTCACCCTACGATATTTATTGCGATATTTTGGAGAGGCTGATATAATTGTAGATGGGACACTTTTTTGCTTTTAAAATACCATGACAAGATTTTGGTGTGAATTATTTCTGTCATAATCGTAAGAATTCAAGTAAAAAACATATTTCTTCGTGTTGTCTGCGCTGAAATGAATCATGGGATATGTAGTTCCCGATGTTTATCAGCTGTTGCTACTATAAAACCATGTATTTAAGCAAAGGAACTTGTGATTCGATATATTGCGACAGACCACGATATTATTGTGAGACTTTTGACGATACGATATCACGATATTTTGGTTATTGTTACATTCCTAGGGACTTGTGATTCAATATTGTGATGATCCATGACGTTATTGTGAGACTTTTGATGATACGATACCACAATAGTTTGGTTATTGTTATATTCGTAGCGGGAAGTGAATTTAAAGGTCATATATTTTACAGAATTAACTCTTAAGAGCTTTAAGCCAACGTTATAATGTTGTTACCGCCTCAAAAACAGACCTGGAGTTGTGTTTTGTTTCATTCACACATGTTTGAGTAACGACTTTTTTGTTCTGTCTACTATCTCCAATACTTTGTTCCACTTTGTGATGTCATGTAGTGGTAGTTTTCCAAGTTAACCAGTTACTGAACTTTTCCAAATCATCATAGCGAAGGTGTATGGAATTTGAAAACAACTTGGAGCACTTCCTGTATTACCCCATGGTGTTTGTGTGTCCGTTTGAGAGCAGAACTCAGCCTAAATATGCGGGATTTGTGTGTTAAACTTGTGTGAATGAAACAAAACTCAACTCCAGGCCTGTTTGCGATGAGGAAACGGCATTATCGATCAGAAAGCGGCGTAATAAGAGCTCTTTAATAATAGAGTTGTGTAGTAGTACGGCCGTTTCTTCTGCATTTCCATAAGTGAATCAGATAGGGCCGTGTCCGCTCATTTCCCCTTCAGCAGATTGCCGTTACAGCTCTATTTAAGTGGGATGGCTCCAGTGAAGTGTCTGTATTGTCGGTGGAGATGTTGTGTGAGGCCCTGGACTCTTGTGTTTGGGTGTGTGCATAATAACAGGATAAGACTCATCAGATCTCCTGCCAGTCTCCTAAATACTGACCTTAAACTGCTGCCTTCACCGTGAGTATATATTATGCTTTTATTCAAGGGAGATTATCATTTCTTGAAGTCTTATAAAGCTGTAAGACTTCAGCTGTTTATTGTTGATTAATGGGTTGATGGAGTCTTAGTCGAAGAAAATGTTTTAAATGTTTATTATATTTAGATTTGAGGGATCGTGAGTGAATCAGGAGCTTTTTTGTTGTCGTTTTACTTGCTTAAAACTTTGGTGCAGCCACATGTAGTTAAGAAACAGCAGTAAAAATACAATTACATAAAATAAAATAACAGTGTGTAGCTAAGGCTGGGTATCATAAAGAAGTTGCCGATACGATACATATTTCGATACAGTGCATTTTCGATTTGATATATTTCTAAACGATTCGATACGGTTAAAAAAAATAAAGGTTAAATCATGGCTGTGATACTAAAAGTCTTTGCTAAACCACTTCTTGTGCAAAGTGAATATGAAACACAAACATTTTAATCCTCAAAACTGTGAAAATGTCAAATGTGTCACATAAACTAAACTTTACAACCAAAACTGTAGCGCTGTAACGAAATAATTTAGTAAAATATACCAAAAAATACTCTTTTCGATGTATCGATTCAGCAGCCCACGATATTGATACTGTATCATCACATTAAACATCCGATATATCGATATTTCAATATTTTTGTACACCCCTACAGTCATACACATTGAGTTCTGATAAAATCTCTACATTTACTATTCATAATGTTGCCCAAAAGCTCACAAAAAACGCGTATATAAAAGGTAAGACTGATTCATTTGAAACATAGACCATTAAATTTGTCTTCATTTGCTCCATATTTCCTTTTCAATCAATCAGTCAAACTTTATTTATAGAGTGCTTTTCATACAAACAATACGACACAAAGCTCTTTCCTCTGAGTAAATGTTGGGGGCAGAGGCTTGAGCCAGGAGACCGTCATGTTTTTGGGGATTAACGAAAAATGTTGACACGTAAAAAAGACTTATTTGATCTAATGTTGTTTGGAAAAACTCCCAATAGCATGAAGGACAACTCTGAGACAATTTTGATAGTCAATCATGGGTTTAATTTGCATTTTTTCATTTCATTCTTTTTTGCATAGTCTCCTGTGTAGTTCTTCTCTTGTGAGTGCAGTTTTAGTCTAATCATAGAGATATTTAAACGTTTTGAAAGCTTTTGCCGCGGCCTCTTTTTAGTCGACCAAGAATTTCTTTAGTTAATTACAGCCCCAGAGTTTTAAGGTGCATTGTGTAACTTTTCTGGTGGAGGGTCTGTCAAATGCTTTTCTCCATGGAGATTATTATTATTATTGCTTCAGAATATGTGTTTTTCTATGTATTTTTGAGCTATAAAACCACCTGTAATTGAATAAATGTAAGTTAGAGCTTTTTTAATGTCACACTGTGGGACATTCCAGGTGGAGAAATGACATATAAACAAAAACGAGTATCCCATACATTTCAGAATATATTTGTAGAGATCTAAACTACAATAAAAGTACCATAAAACATTTATATTGGTCTTCATGTGGATCGTTCTATTTTCTGAAGAAACATTTTGCGATTTGATAATTGCACCAACTCACATTGTGATTTAGATCCAGTTTATATATACACTATATATTGTGCAGTAGGAATATGCAAAAATATTGAAATATCGATCTATCGTATTGTTTAATGTGATGATACAGTATCGATATCATGGGCTGCTGTGTCGATATATCTCCAAGAGTGTTTTTTGGTGCATTTCACTAAATTATTTTGTTACAGAGCTACAGTTTTGTGGCTTGTTCAGAGGAAGGAAACTTATTTATGCGACACATTTGACATTTTCACTGTTTTGATGATTAAAATGTTTTTGTTTCATATGAACTTTGTACAAGAAGTGGTTTAACAAAGACTTTTAGTATCTCAGCCACGATTTAGACATTATTTTTTATTGAACCGGATCGAATCAATTTGAAATATATCGTATTGAATCATATCGAATCGTAAGCTCACTGTATCGTGGTATCTATTCGTATCAACAACTTCTGAGTGAGACCCAGCCCCATTATGCAGCTCTGTGTTTCTTCCTTATTTCTAAAAATGCATCCTAACTTCTGCAGTATATCTCATAGTAGCTGTAGCTTGCTCATTGGAATTGTAGAAAATGTAAACTAAAAGCGAGATCATCTAATGTATCTGTACAATATTATAAGAAAGTGGAACTGTAAACTGCAGTAAGAAATAAATAGTGAAATTGAACTTCTACTTCTTCTTCACGGTGAAACCTCGTCACTCTAAATCTAAGTCGACTAAGGGATTACACACACACACTTTAATGGTTAGTTTGTATTTATATGGAGTCATAAAAGTTAAAATCATATAAATTTTATCTCTGTACAAAAGCATACCACACTCGTAAACACAAACAGTAACCATATTAAATACAGCCTCACAAAAAATATTGTTACGATAAGAGAAGATAAACTTTATTTTTCAACAAGGCGAACTCTGTCTTGGTCCCAAAGTGCAAAGTGCATAAACATCAAATAGGCCAACAGAGTAAAGATAACGAAATAAACATTGTAAATGAACGCAATGAAAGTCTGATATTTATTCATTTCATTTACATCGTCACACTTTGTGGAGCGTTCAGACCCTTATTCCTCATAATCTTAACAGGAGAGGAAATGAAATATGTGTGGTACAAAGGGCTGAGCGGATTGTCCTGGAAATAAAATTGTTGATTTTTTTTCTCTTTTAAATTTAGATTTCTTTCCCCCACTCTCCATTAAAATTTTCTGCAAACTACTGAAAATGGTCAAAAGTGAAAATATTGTATTCAGAGATCCATTGGGCATGTAGCTGACGGTCATGTCACTATTCTTGTTTTCATGGTAATAAGTCAGAAAATTATTATTATATATCTGTTCAAATTATAGATGTAATAATTACCGAAATATCGTGATATCGTATCGTCAAAGTTCTCACAATAATATCGTGGACCATCACAATATATCGAATTACAAGTCTCTTTGAGTTATGGTGCAGCAACAGTGAAAAAAAAGACAAGAACTACATAGACCATGATCCTTTGCTCCATTTCAGTGCAGACTACAAGAAGAAATAACAGTTCTAAGCACTTTTAAGTCTTAGTTCTTGGGATTAAGTCTTGTCAAGGCATTTTAAGAGGAAATAAGTAGCATATTTCCGTATTTTCTACACCATAGGGAGCGCTCTTAAGCCTCCAACCCCATCAAAAAACAACTGCACGCCCCACAGTCCAGAGCGCCCTATACACGAATCCAGTCAGGTGTCCCAGCACGACTTCAGTAAACTACAAAGCCGCAAACACACACGGAGCAGACAGCAACCGCGCGGCGAAAAACACCCACAGACACACTCATCACTCCGCGCCGACGAGGAACGGAACGGAGGAACGAACCGAAAAAGCGAGTGCAATGTGCCAATTCTAGACACGACTGAACAACTGAGTCACTGCGAACACGCCGACAATCCAGCGATCCCAGACAGCACCTCCCTACACGCCACAACTGAACAAAGCCCAGAGTCACCGTGAACGAACAAACAAACAAAACCACTCACCCATCACACTGTTGTGTTTCCTTTAAAGTCCGGTGCGATTTATTTGTGAAAAAAGTTCGAAAATAGACCATTTAATGACAGCGCGTCTTATAATCCAGAGCGCCTTTTAGCCCGGAAAATACAGTAACAGTTTTAGTTGTTTAGCCACAACTATCATACCGAGAGATTTGGATATTGTTACATCCCTAATCGTGAGTGCCCCACCATATGGTGAGCTTTCCCACAATATCACAATAAATATCGTACCATGAAGTTCATGCCATGACAATATCGTATCATGAGACTTGGATATCATCACACCCTGAGTGAATTGGGATTTTCTGTGCTCACAAAAATGAAAACAAAGCACAATAACAGACTGAATGCTGTGCCTGATCTGCTGCTGCGCTCTCTTCCTGCACCCAGACTGGAACATGCTACAAAAACGAGGACAGGCCCACCTATCCGATTAGAAATGTTGAATTGTTAAGACATGTTTTGTATCATTCTTAATCTTTTTATCATTATTTTATTAAAATAAATACAATTTTAAGAGGAAAAAGTAGCATATTAACAGTTTTAACTGTTTAGCCGCCATAAAATATCACAATAAATATCGTACCGTGAGATGTTTATCGTGAAAATATCGTACAGAGAGAATTGATACTAGGGGTGTAACGATATCAGAGTGTTTAGTGAATTCTTTGTTATCGAAGTCAAGTTTGAAATCTTCGTATGGTGACACAAAACGTAACTTTTCAATAATTTGATAGCCCCAAGAAATAAAACAAAGATTTTCAGTGCATATTTATTTAAACCCAGTGAGTGAAAAATCAAACTCCAGGGTGAAATGAGGTGAAGTGTCTTTTACTAAATGATACCCTTTTGTGTCAGGTGCAGTTTGGAGCTCATGGAGAAACCGTCGTCTTCAGGCAAGTCTGAACTAGAGGAGGAGAACAGCCTGGTGCAGGTGAGGAGCACACGTGTCATTTCATCTGTCTGTAAATGTAATGCCAGGTTCCTCTTTCTCTTTCTCTGAATCTGGGAGGGTTTCTCCAAAAGCTGAATTTTTTTTAAGTCTTGGTTTATCGTGACCAGCAATTTCAGAGGATTTTCCACAGATATCATTAGGCTATCATCAGAAATTTAACTGGCACCCTATGTATATTCGCATTTTTCATTCTTGCAGCTATTTTTTTTAAGCTTTTCCAAGATGTGTTGCTTTTTGTGTGAAATAATTGTGGCTCATTTCACTACAGAAATCCAATCCAACTTTATATTTACTTACTTTTATGTACTTGCACTTTAAAAACAACAAGCTCGACTAAAGTTGAATTTGGATTTTCTGTTGTAAGCATCTTTGAGTGTTTATAAAAGCCCTATATAATTAAAATGTAGTTTTCTTTAAATGTATTATTTCTAGGGATGTAACAATAACCGAAATATCGTGATATCGTATCATTAAAGTTCTCACAATAATATCGTGGACCATCACAATATATCGAATTACAAGTCTCTTGGCTTAAATTAAGAGTTATGGTGCTGCAAAAAGAGGGAACTACATAGACCATGATCCTTTGCTCCATTTCAGTGCAGACTACAAGAAGAAATAACAGTTCTAAGCACTTTTAAGTCTTAGTTCTTTGGGTTAAGTCCTGTCGAGGCATTTTAAGAGGAAACAACTGTATATTTAGACTCCGCAAAATATCGCAATAAATATCGTACCGAGAGATTTGGATATTGTTACAAATCCATGTATCATTCGTTCATTTGTTTTTCAATATAAAACCAAAAATAAGAAAACGAAAAAAAAAAAAAAATTTCATTATTTGTCTCCAAAACCAAAATGAAAAAACAGATAATGATTAGTTTGTTCAGTTTTTGATTTTGTGTTTAAATGAAAAATGGAAAAAATGGATAATGGACTGAACCAGGACTGAACCGGTCCTGGTCTAATCCCAGTCTCATTCCCGGTCTCAATCACGGCCTGGTCCTGGTCTGGTCCTGGCCTCAGTCCTAGTCTCAGTTCTGGTCTGGTCCCTGTCTCATGCCCGGGCTCAGTCCCGGTCTCAGTCCTGGTCCTTGTCCCGGCTCAGTCTTGGTCTGGTCCCGATCTAAGTCCTGGTCTCAGTCCCAGTTTTGTTCCGGTCTGGTCAGCCCTAGTTTTTGATTTTGTGTTTAAATGAAAAATGGAAAAAACGGATAACGGACTGAACCAGGACTGAACCTTTTTCAGTCCTGATCTGGTCCCGGTCTCAGTCCCGGTCTCAATCACGGCCTTGCCCTGATCTGATCCCGGACTCAGTCTTGGTCTCAGTTCTGGTCTGGTCCCTCCCTCCGGCCCGAGCTCAGTCCCTGTCTCAGTCCCGGTCCTGGTCTCGGGCTCAGTCTTGGTCTGGCCCCAGTCTAAGTCCTGGTCTCAGTCCCGGTCTGCTTCCGGACCGGTCAGACCTGGTTTAGTCCTGGTTCAGTCCGTATGCAGTGCAAAGTCCGGCATCGCAGTTTAAATTATGGAAACTGGAAACGGTCATTATCTGTTTTTGTTTGGTTTTTTTTTTCATTTTTCATTTAAACACAAAATTGAAAACTGAAAAAACAAATCATTATCTGTTTTTTTATTTTGGTTTTGGAGACAAATAATGAAGAAAATAGTTGTTTTTTCATTTTCTTATTTTTTGATTCTATTAAAAAAATAAAAAAAAAATTAACGAATGACACACAGATTGTTACATCCTTAATCAGGAGCTTCCCCACCGTATCATGAACTTTCCCACGATATCACAATAAATATCGTACCGTGAGTTTCATACCGTGATGATATCGTATCGTGAGACTTGGATATCTTTACACCACTAATTATCACTTTTATTATTATTATTATTACAGGCGGAGGGAGGAGATGTGGAACCACAAACATCCAGGAAGAGCTCGTCTCGAAAAAGCTTCCGTCTCGACTACAGACTGGAGGTATCATTACATCTTCTCAGGTTTCATTAACAAAACAAAGCAGTTGGAATTAAAGCTGCACCTGTACCTTCTCCAGTAAGGGTTTTGTCATGTAAAATAAAATATCGGGCTTTAGATAAATAATTTTGGTTTGTAGACTTTGTAGAAAACCTTTCACGTCACACCTTTTGGTTCCATCCTGTTTGTTCGTCTCCTCAGGTGTGTCAGTTTTATTTACAGATACGATCAGACCGAACAGCTGGGTTTCAGATCTCTGCGCTTTAAAATGTACCACACCTCGTATTGTTTTAATGTCGCATGTTAATCCTGAGACACAAACCAACACCAAACCGTACCGTGTGACTCACCCATCGATTTTGTAATGTCTGATATTTTGTCGTTCTTGTATAAATACTGCGAGTTCATAGGGTCTGGAAGACTGGAGGAAGAGCGGGGACACTCAGACTCTCAAATCTGTTGCAACAAAGAATAAACCTACTTTCTTTTTCATAACTCACAACGGATTCGGAAATTGGTTATTGCAAAAAAAATATAAAAAATCCTTCCATGACAGTTCCACCACCTGCTTATTTCCATAGATAAGAGATGCTTTGCTTGTATTGTTTCAGAGTATGAAATTAAACTTTTCCATTTGGTGTTTAATAAATAATAAGTGTGTAGCTAAAAAACTAAACTAAACTAAAAAATAAAATAAAATAAAATTCAAAATTCAATTTAAATTTCAATTCAAATTTAGATAAAACTTTAATTCAGTTCTTACTGGAAGGGGCTTGCTCCAAAAACTAAACTAAAATAAAAAAATAAAATAAAAATAAAAAATTAAATAAAAAAAAAATTAAAAAAAAATAAAAAAAATTAACTAAATAAAAAAAAGAAAAGAAAAAAGAAAAGAAAATGAAAATTAAATTCAAATTAATTAAATCTTCAATTCAGTTCTTACTGGAAGGGGCTTGCTCCACAGATTTGAGCTGTAACTAGGCTTTGTAGACTTACTTGCCTGCCCCCATGGAGATAGCTATAATAATGCCTTACTGTGGAACATTCTTGCCATAACAATGACATCTCCATTGAGACAAGCAAGTGGTGGACCCTTCACCAGAAAAGTTACATAAAGCAACTTTATTTTTATTTTTTTGCACATGGTGTAACTTTTCTAGTTTAGGGTCCTTCAGATGCTTTTCTCCATGGAGTTGTTGTTGCTTTGTCTGGAATGTTTCACAGTATGGCATTAAACCTTTCTATCTACATGGAGACCAAATCAGGCCAAGTTACAGGTCAGATCTGTGGAGACGGGACCCCGCTCACAGTCAGAATGTTTGTTTTTCGAGGGATTTTTGAGCTATAAAACCACCTGTAATTTAATAAATGTAAAGTAGAGCTGTTTAAAGTCATACTGTGGAACATTCCAGGCAGAGAAATGACATCTCCATTGGGACAAGCAGGTGGTAGGCCCTTCACCTGAAACATTGCTTAATTACATTACAGCTTTAAATTTAGTATATTATTGTTCACTTTTCAAATGCTTCTGTTGAACTGATTCGCAGGAGGAAGTGACCAAGTCGTGTCGAGACAAACATGGCCGCTGGACCAACCCCTGGTCCACGTGGCGGTTCCCCTCGAGCGCTCTTCTACTGAGGTTTTTGCTGCTCGATAAAGACCACAGCAAAGTGCCCAACAAAGAGGTAAGTGTAAAATCTTAAAGAGGACGTATCAATTTGTTATAATGTTCCCTCGTCCAAAACATGCCTGAGGAGGTTTCCGTAGCACTTCATAATAAGGCATACCTACAAATCATATGTAAATGTTTATTAACCATTAACTAATCATTTACAAAAAATTACCCATTAACAGCTGAAGATTTACAATAAATTCTTTGTATAGAAATGTTTTCAAAAGCTAAATGTATTTTACTAGCCTGATTCATCAGTCGGTTTCACTGTGTGGAAACCGTCTGACCCCGCAGCATTAGGATTTGTTCACTCGACGGTAGGCGGGTACTTGTTTATTTAACCAGTTGCTGCTATTTGATCGTGACGTATATAATGCACCACTAACGGGGCTAACTGGTATCTTAAATTTTTCCATGGAGAGAAATCCCGCACCGTCTTACTTGCAAATTGTGAAATTTATTAGGACAAACCGTGCAACATTTCGGCACTAGGCCTTCGTCAGCCAGACCTGTTTGCCTGTTTGCCTCCGAGTAAAACAGTGTGCGTAATTTTTGTCTATGTTCTTTGGCTGCTCCCTTTCCTCCGACGCACCTGTCTCTAGTAACTGATGTGCGAAGTTCTCATTCTTTTATATCTTAAAATTTTTCCAAATCCCGTAGGAAGAAGGGCTATAACATCTTTCCCTAACCCTTGATAAAATTCACCAAACATTCTCTTTGTTACGGCTTTAAATCCTCAATCTCAGGAATCGTTGCCAACACAGAATGTCTGTCTTCGTCTACATCCATCTCGACCGCTTTGTTTACTGTTGTGCTGTGCCACAAAAGGGACACAGTCATGGCTTCACAGCTCTTCCCTGATTGGCCAGTGCGCGATCTACAACTTCCGGGGTTCTTGCAAGCCGTGTATTCTGATTCCTGACCTAGTCGCTGTAGAGAAATGACATTGAGTGGAGGCACTAGGTGGGGCCAGCCTGGCTAGTATTTTACTGCAATCTAACAAAAATCCATTGTACATTATTGTCACTGATAATATCTGTAGGACATGGCAACAAAAAGAGAAATACTTTTTGCCAGCTTTTCAAAACAGAGAAATGTGTTCAACATAGAAGTGTAATACTGAAAGATGCATTGTGTAACTTTTCTGGTGGAGGGTCCGTCAAATGCTGGTCTCCATGGAGATGTTATTGCTTTGTCTGGAATGTTAAACCTTTCTGTCTTCATGGAGACCAAACCAGACTAATTTACAAGGCAGATCTGTGGAGAGGCAACCCCGCTCACAGTCAGAATACCAGTTTTTCTAGGTATTTTTGAGCCATAAAACCACCTGTAATTGAATAAATGTAAAGTAGAGCTGTTTAATGTCACACTGTGGAACATTCCAGGCAGAGAAATGGCATATCCATAGAAACAAGCAGATGACAAACCCCCAACTAGAAAGTTACACAATGCACCTTTTAATAATACTACTTTAATGGCATAATACTGTTAATAATTCTGTTTGTAATACTTTTCATCTCCAGGCCTTGGACGTGGAGCTGCCGGTGATGGAGCCTTTCTTCATTCGGACCCCAGACCTGAGCGAGTCCGGACCCGGTCTCAGAGTGACCTGGTTGGGCCACGCCACTGTCCTGGTGGAGATGGACGGACTTAACATTTTAACTGACCCCATCTTCAGCCAACGAGCGTCACCCATTCAGTTTGTGGGACCAAAGAGGTACAGAGGACCCCCCTGCACCGTGGAGCAGGTCAGTGTAAAGGTCCTGCGTTACGTGGAATTGAGTCTTGTGAGGTTTAAAGCCATGTTATAATGTTAACTCATCAAAAACACTGTGACAAATAGGGCCCCGTTGTCCCTGTTTATTCACATTTAATTTAATTTTACATCTGTTTACCAATATTCAACTAAACGGCCAAATATTACTATCCTGGGTTTGTTTTATTTAGTCTTTGTTTAGTTAAGTTAATCACAATACACCCCAGTTACTTTAAATATATTTTATTTGGTTATTTCTATTCATTTGGTTACCATAACTTACCAACTTACCTGTTACTCCGTATGGTTTGGAGACAAAAGAGGGGGCGTGACCTTGGACGGCCATATTTATAGCCTCTGGGGGAAGGTTTTGGCCTGACCGTGTGGAGGGAAGAATTGGTTTTAGTTCTCTTTTTTTTTTGATGGATTTTGTTTGTTTGATTTCAGTGTTTATAGTTTATTTTGACCACTGGTATTTAAAGGGGACTTAGGCCCTTTTAAGAAATTAAGCAGCACACTTTAGAAACAGGTAAAGTGGCTAGAAGAGCTGACCTGGAGGGAGGTACTTCCTGTGCGGGGAACTATAAATTCGGTGCATTTCAGCCTGTCGAGAGTTCACCTCCAGTGTAGCCGTGTGCACTTGGGTTTTTCCTTAGTTTCATTAATTTCTGTTGCTTTTGACTTTATTTAAGCACAGTTTTTTTGTAAATATATAATTTTTCATTTTGCCACGAATCCACAGTGAAAGCAAGACTTTTTTTTTTTTTTTTTTGGTGAGTGGACATTTTTGCGTCTGCCTCTTACTTTTGACCACTTTGGCCAGCTTCCCCAATAACACCCGGCACTGAATAAAGCGAAAGAAAATGCATACATGGATTATCCCACCAAATGAAGCAGATATTGGAGAATCATCAAAACCTGTCATATGCACTTTAATGTATAAATGTATAAAAACAGAACAACATAAAAATAAGAACGAACTAAACTGAATGCACATTTCGTTCCAGTGCTCTTTAGATTTGAAAAAATAACACTTTACTTTACATTCTCAGTCTGGATTTCTGTTTTTAGAGTAATACTGTCTCTGTCTTCTACTGTCATGTCTCTTCAGTCTTTTTTTAATTGCTTGTGTCTTTGTTTTTTTTCTCAGTTGCCCAGAATCGATGCTGTTGTCATCTCCCACTCTCACTATGACCATTTGGACGTCGGATCTGTCTCCAGTCTGAACGCTCGATTCGGGGCAGAGCTGCGCTGGTGAGTTTAAGCACTGTCCTCTGGCCTGGTTTATCGCGGGGTTTCAGATCACATCACAACGTTCTATGGACCAATGATATTTAATACACATGAGGGCAGGTAAAATGAATATAGTTAAAATGCTTGTTTGTGTAGTAATACAGTGAGTTCTTGGGTCTAGTCACTTGATTAGGTTCAACATTTGTTAGTTTACCTTTTGGATATTACTTGTAGTTGTCAAAGTACAGTTTTTTCTTTTTTTTTTTTTTTTTTTATAGGGAAATCTGGCTCTTGCCCACATTTGAGAGTATGACGTTCTAGACTCTGAAAACCAACAATAAGAATCCACTTTTAAATATTCCATTAAAGCTGAAGTTCCCTAGTCAGGCTGGTGCCACCTAGTGCCTCCATTCAATTTAATTTCTCTCCAGCGACTAGGTCAGGAATCAGAAAGCACGAGACGGTTTGCAAGAACCCCGGAAGTTGTAGATTGTTCACCGGCCAATCAGCGAAGAGCTGTGAAGCCATGACATCAAACTTAAGCGTCTGTCTGTGTCCCTTTTTGTGGAACAGCACAACAGTAAACAAAACGGTTGAGATGGATGTAGACGAAGACGGACATTCTGTGTTGGCAACGATTCCTGAAATCGATTATTTAAAGCCGAAACAAAGAGAATGTTTGGTGAATTTTATCAAGGGGAAAGACGTTATTGCCCTTATTCCTATGGGATTTGGGAAAAGCTTAATATACTAGTTAACCCTGTTAGCTGCGCATTACATACGTCACAACCAAATAGCAGTGATTGGTTAAATAAGAGAAAGTACCCGCCTACCGTCGAGCGAACAAATCCTAATGTGGCAAGGTCAGACAAACTTAAACTGTCTGATGAATCAGGCTAGAAGTACCCATCTTTTTGTCATAAATGAGTAAATTCTGTTTTTCCCCAAAAAGTAAAAGCAGAACTTTGTGACGATGTCTTTATCTAATTATAACTTTTTATCTATTGCAAACATGAGCCATATAAGTCTTTATATGACGCTTTGGGGTGAGGGTTGCTTGGCTGTCTTTCGATGCTCCACGTTGCTTTAACTTTTGCCTGAATAAGTTGTTCTAAAGCTGTGCTAATGGACAAATACTTGTGCATTTACTTACACAGTTACATACTTATCTGTCGTACAATGTTTTTGCAATCGTTTCAGCCAATTTCAATTTAATGTTATTGGGTTGAGGCCGTAGGAAGGAGAGATTAGACCGTCATGCTCTCTATGGTAATATAGGCTAGTTATAGGCTTGTTAAACTCATTCAGCACTTTGGTTTGCTCTGATCCCACTGTTATTAAGTTTGACAGTGATTATCCAGCTGCTTCATTTGCCCCTTTGCCCCTCCCTGGTGTAAACTGCCCCCTCTGCTCCAGGTTTGTTCCTCTGGGGCTGATGGACTGGCTGGTGAAGATGGGCTGTGAGAACGTGATGGAGCTGGACTGGTGGGAGGAGAACTGTGTCCCGGCTCACGATGACGTCACCTTCGTGTGCACGCCCTCACAGCACTGGAGCAAACGCACTCCGTACGACGACAACAAGGTCAGGTTTGACACTTTTACCAGTGTTAAAGGTTAAAGTGGCACTGTGGCACTTTTCTGGTAGAAGTTGTCTCCATGTAGATGTTATTGCTGTGCTTGAAACTATAGAATTACATTTATCTATCTCAGTGGAAAATAGGCGAAGTGTTCGGTCAAATTTGTGCAAAGGCGTTCTCACGGTGTAAAGTAAACACTGTGAAAAACAAATCTGTTTCTGGCTGGATACTGGAAAAGGCTGACTTCAAATCAAGTTTCTGTGCATTTCAACTTTTTTGTGAGAGTGAGAAAGTAGATTTAAATACTACTTCCTCTTTTTTGTAATTTTATGAACTACTAAAACTAATACAAGAAACACATGTATTCCAGACCACATTTGGGCACTTCTGTTGATACGGTGTTTTTCAGACTATAATTCGCTCCAGAGTATAAGTCACATATAAGTCACACCAGCCAAAAATGCGTAATGAAGAAGAAAAAAACATATAGGAGTCACACTGGACTATAAGTTACACTTTTTGGTGAAAATATATTTTATAAAATCAGAGACCAGGAACTGACATTTCATCTTGAAAGGCAAGTTCTAGTAAAACAAGTAGAACAGAGAACAACAGACTGTTAACGTCACATATGAACAGTTCTTCAGATAAACTATAACATAAACAACAGAACAGAACAAGTTTAACAAACTCTCCATCTCACTCCAAATCACTAAATCCATTAAATTCTTCATCCTCGGTGTCACTTCTGAGCAACTCCACGACCTCCGGAGGTAAACGGAGCGCCACTTCCTCTTCTGTGTCGCTGTCGTCAGACTCAGCATCAGTTCCAGTTAGAATTATTCCGGCCTTTTTGAATCCCAATAGGATGGTTTCGGTTGTCAGCAAAGTTCAGGCTTTGTTGATCCATCCAGTGACTTCCAGGAAAGTTGCATGGTGCACTCCAATCTTTCTTGCTGCTGCTCGATTACCTTTTTCGGCTGAATATTTCACTACTTGCAGCAGGACAGAGGCTCTTTCTGCAGGAGACATGTGCAGTAGAGCCAAGTGACAGTGGCACAGAAGTAATAGTAGTAGCAGATACTGATACACAAGACTAGAGCCTCTCGTGGCTGTCAGTGTGAAAATTTTAATATATAAGTCACACTGGAGTATAAGTCGCAGAGCCATCCAAGCCATGAAAAAAAGTGCCACTTATAGTCTGAAAAAATGCGGTACTGGGGGTGTGATGCTTACTGTCGGCACTGCTCTGAGGCTTTGTTAGGATTTTAACAATCCAACAATAAAGAATGGAATTAGTTGAAACTACAAGTTATTTGTGCCTGATTTGTGTCGATAAACAAGTCTCTCTCTCATAAAATTACAATTACAAGCTTGAAAAACAAACACAAAAATGAAAATGTTTTGTTTAAATCCATTTTGAATTTTTTATGAGTTTTCAGACGATCTTAAAACTTGTGTACATTGTGCCAACTACTAAACATTCTGCCATAGACATACATGCATTATATCACTGTAGTTTATCAGTATTACAAGGACATTTTATAAACTGGAATATCCAACTTAATGTTTGAGTCAGTGTTCTGTTTTCCCCATAGATCCTGTTTATTTTAAAAGCAGCTCAGAATCAGACCACTGCTCTTTCTGCATCTAAAAATAAAGCGTTTGAAGCCCATAAAAAAAACTATAAACGTCATTAGAATTGACTGCGCTTTGATGCTCGGCCCCAGCAGTTAATATTTACTGAAAAGGCAGTTCTATAACACGGAATTTTCCAGAAAAGCCATGAATATTAACAATGGGCCAAAAGGTTTTTCAGACCTCAGTACTGGATTTAAATAGGTACTTACTCTTTTCGCACTTTGAAGTTTGAGAAATTTGAGGAAATGTTGAAATCTGAACTACAAAACTATTACAAGAAATTATTACTGAATTAATTCCCATAAATCAGTATATTTTTCTCAGCAGATGATGTCATATCTCCTAAGTAACTACAGCCTTATTTTGATCCTTGAGATTTGTATTTGGATTTAATTTTGGATTCTGAAAATACCTGGTTGATGGATCACAATTTTCCCTTCTGAATTTCCCTTGTGAGTTTTTCTAAGTCCGGCCCTTCACTACTTGAAGTGGCCCAATGAGGCAATCCTCAAAACTTGACATATTACTTTTTGGTAAATAATAACATGTCTGCATCTTGTATTTTGTTGATTTTTTTTTTTTCAATAAAAAAATGATATTTATATGAAGTATAAATATCATAAGTATGTTTATATTTAAATAATTATATGATGTATTTACATTTGCCGCCGAATGTTCATCACCTGACAAGCTCGAGATCAAACAGTGACAGTCGACACACGTGCAGAGTTCTGTAGTGCGGTTAAAAACAGCAAAATGACTAGTGTTAAAGCAGGGGTGTCAAACTCATTTTGGTCTGGGGGCCATATCCAACCTACTTTGAGCTCAAAGGGACCAGATCAAAAAACTCATGACATATATACCCCAAAAATAGCAATAAATTCAAATATTTGTGCAGAGAAATGCAAAAACGCAAAATGCAACAGTCAAAACGATCGTCCTTTAAGAGCGTTTGGAAAGAGACAAGTCTTCATTTGTGCTGCTGTTGTGGTGGGAGGGGCCACGTACAGAGACGCTGGAGACGCTGCTGTGCTGAGCGGCGCACAAAATTACCAATATTTTAATAGAAAATATAATTAAAATATTTTAATAGAAAATCAGCTAAGGATCAGATTAAAGGTCTTGGAGGGCTGGATCTAGCCCCCGGGCCGTATGTTTGACACCACTGGGTTAAAGTAGGAATATTTGACAGAGAGCGCCGAGTTTTCAAAGAACAGTGGACGACTGATTATTTTTTTGTTCAGTGTAAGGACAGTGCAGTTTGTCTGATATGTAAAGAAAGCATGGCAGTTTTCAAAGAATATAACCTGCATCGTCAGGGTTGTACAGTTCTGTTCAACGGCCGAACCTGAACCCGGCCCCCATCACAGTCGGGGGCGATAATGTGGCCCCCAGAGAAAAAAGTTTGGTGACCCCTGATCGAAGTCCAAGTTTTAAAACGCCTATATTACGCTACTTTTCCATGTTATAATGTTGTTTCCTCACCACAAACAGACCTGGAGTTGTGTTTTGTTTCATTCACGCATATTTAACTCACAAACTCTGCATATTTAGGCGTATGAGTTCTTCTTTCAAACAGAAAACACTCTGTTCCACCTTGTGATGTCGTGGTAATACGTACAGGAAGTGCTGCATTCTGTTTTTAACTCCATATAGCTTCACTAAAAATTATTTGGATGATTTCAGCCCTGGAATTGCCAATCTCTAGTGAAAAAAAGGTTAAAAGGTAGATGCTCACTTGATAATTATTGCTTCATGACGACACAAGGTGGAGATGTAGACAGACTAATAATAAAGGATCACTCAAACATGTGTAAATGAAACAAAACACAACTCCACAACATTATAACACGGCTTAAAGCTCACAGATATGTTTCTATGTCTTCCAATAATGCAAAGAAATGTGTACATAATCAAAATAACCTGGTATTTCTGTGTGTTTTAGACGCTCTGGGGCAGCTGGACGGTTCTGGGACCAGAGCATCGTTTCTTCTTTGCTGGAGACACGGGATACTGCCCCACCTTTAAAGAGATCGGGCAGCGCTTCGGCCCTTTCGACCTGGCTGCTATTCCCATCGGAGCGTATCAGCCCAGGTATTTTCCTACAAGTTTTCCATCCTAAATTTGTAACTTGTCTTAATTGCATTGATAGTCAGAGCTTGTGTTCACGTGACATCACAGTACAGTGATCCCTCGTTTATCGCGGGTTTATGTTCTAAAAATAACCCGCAGTAGGCAAAATCTGTGAAGTAGTCAGCTTTATTTTTATACTATTATTATATCTGTTTTAAGGCTTTAAAACCCCTCACCACACACTTTACACACTTTTCTCAGGCAGCTACAACTCTTTTTGCATCCTTCTTAAAACGTATTGCTGCTGTCGTCCTGATGTTATTTTCCTCCTCCTTCATGTAACGAACCAAAGACTCATTTATTCTTGCACGGGTCCATTTTTGGAGACCCGCATCCGCGCAGTACAGCACCACACCCGCCTATTAACCCATGATTATAGGAAAGTGCCACACACGCCAGACTAACCCAGGACTAACCTGGGAGACTTGCTCCAGGACTGAACCAGGAGGACTAAACCAGGACTGAACAAGGACTAAAACAGGACTAAACCAGAACTGAACCAGAACTGAACCAGAACTGAACCAGGACAGTCCCAGAGCTGCGCCTGTGTAGACTGTCAGGTGGCCGCAGGAGAAAGGACAGACGTAGAGCTCCGAGCCACACGGAGATAAGCGCAGCCGTCGCCCGATCGCGCTTGGCGGAGACCCTGCTCCACAGGCTCAGGGTTCTCTCTTTTAAATCCAAGAGTAGTTCTGGTTTAGATCTGGTTTAGTCCTGATTTTAGTCCTGATTTTGTCCTGACCCGCCGTGTGTAATCACTACCTGCCCACATACTCGTCCGTAAAATTCCAGAACGTTAAAAACCTGTCAGTTTCAGCAGCTAATTGCCGGATCAATCCAGTTCAATCCATACTGTGGAACATTTCAGGCTAAGCAATAACTTCTCCATGGATTCAAGAAAATGACGGAACGACCCTCGTCTGAAAAAGCTACATAGTGCACTTTTAATACAAAGTTTTCCACACTAAATGTAGTGTGGAAAACTTTGTATTAAAAGTGTTCTAATCGTGTTATAGTCGTTGTATTGATCTGTATTAATTGATTTTCATCTTTCAGGGATGTGATGGTGGGACAGCATGTGGATCCTGCAGAGGCTGTTCAGATACACGAGGATCTTCAGGCCAAACAGTCTGTGGCCATTCACTGGGGAACCTTTGCACTCGCCCATGAGGTCAGAACAGACTGTAATGTGCAAGAATAGATTAACGAATGTGATGTATATTTGTGTTGAGTACATAACAAAACAATTGAATTTTGCCAGCTGCACAAAACCTCTCTCTTCACTCTCTTTTTTTTTTTTTTTAGTTTCCCCACTTATCCACGTAGCCTCTCCAGTTCTGACAGGGTTCTGGTCAGGGTTGCCAGATTTTCAGAGAGCAAAAAGGCTAAAAATCACCACTTTCATGATGGGAAACTGCTTCTCAATAACAAGCGAAACAACAACCTGTGACTGTCAAAATTTGCAAGCGATTTTCTAACAATAGAAGCCAAAAGTTCTAACACACTCTAATTGTTTACCCTAAGGTTGTGAACTGTCATATTTTTGCATAATCATCCATTTCCCATTGAGTCCACTTGTTCCTTTTAGCGTAACTTTAATTACCTGATTGAAACTGAAACTGATTGAAAATAAAACTTATTCACACTTAAAAAATTGTCAAGTTGACGGAATTGACTTCAGTTTGAATATTTATGATACTTTTTTCCATTCTTAGTTCTATTTCTGGGTCTTTTGTACTTTTTCACTCGAACGCCTTTTATGCACTGATGGACGAAACATCAGCTAAATGTTATATTTACATAAAACAGATTTAATTATCTAAGTCTTTAATACAGTGATTGTACAAAGTGCGTTGTAAAAGAAAATTTTATTCAGTGCAAAGTGAAGAATTTTGGGACTTAAAGGGCCGATCCTAATGTTGTTTCTTCATCAAAAACAGACCTTGAGTTAAGTTTGTGCAATTAATTGAATTTTGATCATGATTTTGATTTGTGTCAAACGATTTTCAAACTCAAATATATATTTAACACTGACAAAGTTTATTTTGGGATATTTTTAATATAAATAAGTATACAATTGTTTTTTAAATATTGAGATTGTAGAACAGCTGGTTATATAGTTTATTTTGGATACATTTATGTTTTTCTATGACTTATTTCATGTTCAAAGTATATTTTAATTCATTTTATGTTTTATACATCGCAAAACTTCTCTAAGGTACATATTTGTAGCCTATATTTATTTTCAATCTGTCATTGATCATTTACGCAAAACTTACAAAGTGTTTTGTTTTGTTTTGTTTTTTTGAGAGAGAAATGCTGAATAAATGCATCGTGTAGCTAAAAAATAATCGTTTGAATAATTGTGATTTCAATACTGACCAAAATAATCGTGATAATGTTTTTTTTTCCATAATCTAGCAGCCCTACATGGAGTTGTGTTTTGTTTCATTCACATATGTTGAACACACAAATCCTGCATATTTAGGCTGAGTTCTTCTCTCTGTTCCACCTTGTGATGTCATGTGGTAATACAGGAAGTGCTCCATTGTGTTTTTAAAAATAATTTGGATAATTTCAGCCTCACAGTTTTCAATCTCTACTGAACTAAAGTTTAAAGGTAGCTGTTTCACTTGAAAAAGTACCACTTCGTGACATCTCAAGGCGGAACAGAGCATTTTGAGCTTTGGAGATGTAGACAGACTAATAATAAATGAATGAATGAAACAAAACACAACTCCAGGTCTGTTTTTGATGAGGTAACAACATTTTGTGTAATATAGGACCTTTAACCAAGACCTAAACTTAGACTAGACTAGACCAGGACTAAACCAAGTCTAAATTAAGACTAATATGAGATCAATCTGAACATGTGGAGTGTATAGTGGTTACATCCATATTCCAGTTGTTGATATTGGTCCGTGTAATTAAATCTGAATGAATTTGTACTAAAACTTCGACTTATTTCTGTTTTTCAGTATTACCTGGAGCCTCCTGTGCGTCTCAGAGAAGCGCTGGAGCAGAAGGGGCTAAAACCAGAGTCTTTCTTCGTCCTGAATCACGGAGAGTCACGCCTGGTCTCTTCATCGCAGGGAGACATCTTTGACTGACGCCCGAGACAAGCCAATTAATATCACACTGACATCTACAGTATACAGGAAAATAAATAAAACATGAACTCAATGTCCCACTGTATTCGTAGGAAACATTTGAAAAGAAAACTCACTCAAAGTTTCACTGTCCTTAAAGCTGCACTGTGTAACTTTTAAGGTGGAGGGTCCGCTATTTGTTTGTCTCCACGTAGATGTTATTTCTTTGCCTGGAATGTTCCACAGTACGGCATTTATAACATATTTCCCTTGTATTTGTTCAGTTACAGCTGTTTCTTACCATGTGCAGGCTTGCTTCTCCACAGATCTGACCATTAACCTGTCTCCATCGTGATTACCAAATTATAATCAACTCAAACTGGTAATATCTCCATGGAGACGAGCAGGTGTCGGACCCTCCACCAGAAAAGTTACACAGTGCACGTTTAAAGATGCGCTATGAAACTTCTCTAGTATTTTTTCAAGTAGAGGTTTATCTTGCATGCATTCTTACTGGGAATGCGCTTGCCACTCCACAGGTGTGACTTGTAAGCCTCTCTGGTGCTTGTCTTCGTTGAGATAAACAGGTTTAATGACTCAGGGGGTGGTGATCTGGAGGTTGGTGGTTCAAATCTCGCTCTTATCATTAAAGGGACAGTCTGGAATTTTGGACATAGGACCTCATTTCCTAGTGAGCCGAGTGTCGATGTGAATTAGCCTGATTCATCAGACGGTTTCATTTCGTGGAAACCGTCTGACCTCGCAGCATTAGGATTCGTTCGCTTGACGGTAGGCGGGTACTTTTTTTATTTAACCAGTCGCTGCTATTTGGTCGTGACGTATGTAATGCGCCGAATCCCGTAGGAAGAAGGGCAATAACGTCTTTCCCCTTGATAAAATTCACCAAACATTCTCTGTGTTCCGGCTTTAAATCCTCAGTCTTGGGAATCGTTGCCAATAGGGCTGGGTGTTATTGCCGACCCGATACATACCTCTATATGCTTAGCTTATGATTTGATACAATGTATTTCAAATTGATTCGATATAGTTGTATAAAAAAATAAAGGTTAAATCATGTCTGTGATACTAAAAGTCTTTGTTAAACCCACTTCTTGTGTAAAGTTCGTATGAATAACAAACATTTTAATCATCAAAACAGTAAACGAGCTTCCTTCCACTAAACAAGCAACAAAACTGTAGCTCGATAACAAAATAATTTTGTAAAAGTGACAAAAAATACTCATGGCAATATATCGATACAGCAGCCCATGGTATCGAAACTGTACCATCATATTAAACAATACAATATATCAATTTTTCACTATTTTTGCACATTCCTAGTTGCGTACACAGAATGTTTGTTTTCGTCTACATCCATCTCGACGCTTTGTTTACTGTTGTGTTGTTCCACAAAATGGACCCAGACAGACGCTTGAGTTTGACGTCATGTCTTCACGGCTCTTCACTGATTGGTCGGTGCGCGATCTACAACTTCCGGGGTTCTTACAAACCGTCTAGTGTATTCTAATTTCTGACCTAGTCCCTGGAGAGAAATGAAACTGAGCAGAGGCACTAGGTGGCACCAACCTGGCTGCATGTAAATGTCTGTGTCGATAGAATAATGTTTGAAATAAAACTAACCTTGCATCGCATGAATCGTCGCATGTTGAGGGACTATTTTCCCAGCAGCAAGACAGGTGCTAGGTGATATCAGTCCGCCACTGCCGAGCTTTCTATCAGGAAGTGCAACTCACTGCTGCTGCTGCTGCTGCTCAGATGTAAATCCTTCAAATGCAAAGTTGGTTTTGCTTCTAAAATTATTCTATCGGCACAGGCATTTACATGGACAGTCTGGCGTAATAATAGATTTTCTTCTGGTATTTTGTGGAGTGGGTAAGACTGTTTTTAGTGGCAGGATAACTATGACCATTGACATGCACTAGTCTAACACCAGTGACCTCTGCAAATACAAGGACTGGATGGAATATTTAAAAAAGTGTCTCCGCACGTCTCCATCACTCTTACTAAAAAGAAAATGAGATGCTATGTCCAAAATTCCCGACTGTCCCTTTAACAAACTTGGAAAAAATGTCACGTGCACACTGCAGTTACCACAGACGGACTCTGGGAGCGATGTGTTAAGTGTCTTGCCCAAAGACACAAGGGCAGTACGCACCTGTGGGAGCTGAGATTGAACCGTGGATTTGCTTTTTTGTATAACATTCAAATCAATGAACAAATACAGAATCTCTGGAGACAAGCAGCTGAAAAGTTACATAGTGCAACTTTTAAAATAAGGGGCAACGTTCAATAGGTGTCTTTATGTACTGTATTAACATTTAAAAGACTCCAAAGTTTAAAAAATAATAATAAAAATACAAATATATGGTACTGTACACTGTCAAAATGCAAGTATATGACCTGATTTATGGTTAGTATCTCCGTCTTTATTCACACGAAACAAAAACCGGCACAAAGTTTACCACATCCTCTTGAGATTTGTTGATTTTCTATTTTAATATTTCTTTCTAGAACTTAAACACAGCCTATAACTGTTAAATCTCAAGAACTGTAGTATATTTAGAGCCTTATATTCTTGTATTGTCCAGCGCAGACCTCGTTTCTGACAACAAAATGTGTTCAGAAACAAGGTAAAAGAAAAAAAAACAAAAAAAAACGTATTGAGTAGCACTTTACCCCGCCTGCACTATGTAGTTTGAATGTAAAACAGAATTATAAAAATATTACGGTTAAAAGAGCGATTGTTTTTCACTTGCTGTGGTTGCCAATATTAGTTTTTACTTAACGGTTAGACAATTGCAATGACTACGGTTTCTCAGCGGATTGGATTCACTTAAATAAATAAAAAAGTTTCGGGTTTTATGAGAAAAGTTGAGTGAGGTTAATCCAGTTTTAACACGTAAAATAAATCCTGAATCTGAATTCTTCTATAGATCAGTGTTTCCCAAATTTTTTTTTCTGGGGACTCATATTTTAAAAGTCACAATCCTTCACGACCCAAGTCAATAGACATTATTCGTAAATCGTAAAATAAATTTGGATTTGACCGTTATTGAAGATTAATGAGGATATTTTATTGTTGACTGAGTGATCGTGTCTCTCTGAACAATTAGTATTACTCAAGTTTTAAACAATGAAAAACAGTACCGTATTTTCCGGGCTATTAGGCTCTTGAGCCTCCAACTCCATCAAAAAACGACAGCGCGCCCCACAATCCAGAGCGCCCACAGCCACACTCATCACTCCACGAGGACGAGGAACGGAACGGAGGAACGAACCGAAAAAGCGAGCGCGATGTGCCGCTTCTAGACACGACTGAACAACTGAGTCACTGCGAAAACGCCGACAATCCGTTGGTCCCGGACAGCGCCCTCCCTACACGCCACAACTGAACAAAGCCCAGAGTCACCGTGAACGAACAAACAAACAAAACCACTCACCCATCACACTGTTGTGTTTCGTTTAAAGTCCAGTGCGGTTTATTTGTGAAAAAAGTTCAAAAATAGACCATTTAATGACAGTGCGTCTTATAATCCAGAGCGCCTAATAGCACGGAAAATACGGTATACAATACGATAAATCTAATGTTATATACGAAATACCCAGCATGTCCTGCAGTAAAACACACATCGGGGAAACAGGGAGGGCGTTCAGTACACGAAAAAAGGAACATAGAACAGAATGCGGGAAGGAAACCGCAAAGGCGAAACACAAACAACAACAACAACAACAAAAAAAGCAGAACAGGAACAACTTAAATCAACCGTTTCTGAGCACTGTAAAAGACAGAACCACATTCTGGACTGAGACAGAGCAAACATCATTGGGACAAAGGAAAACAAACATCGTCGCTGGATTGAAGAGGCAATCGAAATACAGAAATGTGCCCATAGGAGGATAAACCGGGACGAGGGGGCTGTTTCCCATTTCCGTGACTTAAACTGGGATGCCGGAATTTTGCGCCGCATATGGACTGAACCAGGACTGAACCAGCACTAAAACAGGACCAAAACTAAAACCGTTTTCATTCCTGATCTGGTCCTAGCCTCAGTCCTGGTTTCAGTCCTGCTCTCAGTCCCGGTCCCAGTCCCGGTCTCAATCACAATCTGGTCCCGGTCTGGTCCTGGCCTCAGTCCTGCTCGCAGTCCCGATCCTGGTCTCAGTCACAGTCTGGTGCCAGTCTAATAGTGGTGGAAAATACAGTAATTGAACAGCAGTAAAAGGATCCATAAGTCGCCGATTTGGACTTTAAATGAAGCCCATTTCTTTTTCTTTTCAACATTCAATTGATCCAGCAATATTGGAACAAAACAGTCAATAAAATAATTACAAAAAGATTTGAAATTATTAAAAACATGTCTTAACATTTCAACATTTCTAATCAGATAGCTGGGCCTGTCTGCGATTTTGTTTTTGTAGCTCGTTCCAGTCCAGAGTACAAGATCAGGCACAAATTAGTCGACCCAAAAAAAATCTCTTGTGACCCACCTGAGGGTCTCGAGCCAGTCTTTGGGAAACAATGCTATAGAAGACACTTGAATGATCCCTTAAAGGTCCATTGTGTAACTTTTCTCGTGGGGGTTCCTTCATTTTCTTTTCTCCATGGGGATGTTCTTGCTTTGTCAGAAATTTTGGTTGAATTCTTTGTGTATTGGATTCACTTAAATACAAATTTCGACCAAAATTTTCAAGGGATTTTACACACATCTTTGTCAGAAATGTTTCACAGTATGGCATTAAACCTTTCTATCTTCATGGAGTCCAAACCAAACCAAGTTACAGTCAGATCTGTGGAGAGGCGACCCCGCTCACAATCAGAATGTTTTTTGTTTTTTTTTAGATATTTTTGAGCAATAAAACCACCTGTAATTGACTAAATATTGAGTAGAGCTGTTTAATGTCATACTGTGGAACATTCCAGGCAGAAGGGTGACATCTCCATAGAAACAAGCAGGTGAAGAACCCACAACCAAAAAGTTACACGGTGCACCTTTAAGAGTAAACTAATGAAATTGATTAAGAATCAGTGTATCATTCGTTCATTCGTTTTACAATATAAAATCAAAAATAAGAAAATGAAAAAACAACTATTTTCTTCATTATTTGTCTCCAAAACCAAAATGAAAAAACTGATAATAATTTTTATTTATTTTTTTTCAGTTTCTGATTTTGCGTTTAAATGAAAAATGGAAAAAATGGATAACGGACGTTTCCCATTTCTGTGACTTAAACTGAGATGCCGGACTGAACCAGGACTAAAACAGGACTGAACCAGGACTAAACCAGGTCTTAGTCCTGGTCTGGTCCCAGTCTGAGTCCTGATCTCAGTCCCTGTCTGGTCCCAGTTTGGTCCCGGTTTCCTGATCACCCGACGCAGGTCCAGGCCAGTCCCAACACTCCTGGTTCAGTCCTGGTTTAGTCCCGTTTCAGTTCTCATTTAGTCCTGGTTTAGTCCTGGTTTATGACTGAGACTGGGACTGGACCAGGACTGGGACTGAGACTAGGACTGAGACCGGTTTAGAGCTGGTTTAGACCTGTTTTAGTCTTGTTTTAGTCCTGGTTTAGGACTGAGACCAGGACCGGGACTGAGACCAGGACTGAGACTGGTTTAGACCTGGTTTAGAGCTGGTTTAGAGCTGGTTTAGTTTAGTCCTGGTTCAGTCCGGCGTCACAATTTAAGTCACAAAAACAGAAAACGGCCGTTATCTGTTTTTCCATTGTTCATTTAAACACAAAATCAAAAACTGAAAATTTTGGTTTTGGAGACAAATAATTAAGAAAATAATAGTTTTTTCGTTTTCTTATTTTTGGTTTTATTTTGAAAAACGAATTAACGAATGATACACGGATTATTAAGGCACATACAGAAAAACTTCATTACAAAAGAAACCACTTACTTTTCTCATTTTACTTTTTTTTAATTTTTTTTATTCATGTGACTGCAATAAGCCGCCGTAGTTTCTGACCTGGAAAAACATGAAAAACTGTAATGAGATTTGGGTGATTTATGCTTGTTTTTAATTGTATTGTTAATTGTTGATTTCTCGTTGCCATGGCAGCGCAGAGGTTGAGCTGGGTTCAACTTCCTGTGTCTCAGAAAACAGTGAAAACCACGACGCATTTTCCCCCGTTTTATATTTTCTTGTGGTCTACCTGTATGAACATTTGTATCACTGTACTGTCGATACTACAATACACAGAATTCATAGGAAATACTGAAAATATATCGATTGTGAATGGCTGAATGTATGAATTGTGTTTGATTTGATTGTCAGCGTCACAAGCACAAAGATTTGACAGATGACCGGTGTGTAGATGCCAAATAAAAAAGTAAATATATCAAACTGAAAAAATAAAGGCCATGTGTTTGTATTGTGTTTTTCTGTCAGAATATAAAAGATGCCAAACACTGCCAACTAGTGGACACTCAATGTTGTTTACTGGTGTTTCTCAAACGGTGGTCCACGTGCTTCTTCAGGTGGGACTTGGACAGATCTTCAGTTTGTCATTTTCACTCATTTAAAGTTGATTTGATCCAGTTTTTGACCTCTTTTGGATCATTTCTTGTTCAGAACTACAGTGGAAATGATGTAGTACCTTTTAGGCCTGGATTAGTCCTAGATTAGACCTGGATTAGTTCTCTTATAGACCTGGTTTAGTGGTACTCGGAAAGTCACATATTTCCTTTAATGATACTTTGTGTGAAAAGTTTGAGGGCCACTGGGTTAACTAAAACAGAAGAGCAGTAATATACAATAAATATAAGTTATAAGAGTCTAGACCAGGGGTGTCCAAACATTTTTCATCAAGGGGCACATATTTAAACACAGACAAGGTTAATCGAGGGCTGTAGACTGGTGCTCAGTACAGTGAATTATTTAAATAGGTGCATATTTATCACATTAGAATGAGCCATCAGTCTTTATTCATGCTAAGATCCTTAAAACCACACACTAAATATTACATATGAGCTTTATCAAGGTAGATTTTCAAAAAAAACTTGCAGCAAAAAGTACATTTTTAATTGATGCAAGGAAATTTGGGCCAATTCACATGGAAGCCTGAGGGCCAAGAAAAATTTGTTTAAGGGCTGCATTTGGTCCACGGGCCAGTTTGGACATGCCTGGTCTAGACAGTAGGGGGCAGTCTGGTGACAGTAGCTCTGTAGCTTTGGTTCACTGATCAGAAGGTTGGCAGTTCGACTCCCGCATAAACATCATTGGTGGAGCCATCAGATCCACTGCAAGACACTTTACCTTTACACTTTACCCACCGTGTCCCCAGTGTGTGTGTGCTCAGAGCCCTGAAGGCGGAAAAGTGATATCGATATCTTGACCTGCTATATCGATATATTGACAATATATTAAGTATTTTTTGGTATATTTTGCTAAATTATTTTCTCACAGAGCTACAGTTTTGTTGTTTGTTTAGAGGAAGGAAACTCATTTATGCAACACATTTGAAATTTTCACTGTTTTGAGGATTAAAATGTTTGTGTTTCATCTGAACTTCGCACAAGAAGAAGAGTGGTTTAACAAAGACTTTTAGTATCACAGCCATGATTTAGCCTTTATTTTTTATTGAACTATATCGTACAGCTCACCGTATCAAGATATGTATTGTATTTCAACTTCTGAATGATACCCAGCTGTAGTATAGATGTTTTAATCTGTAATATTTTATTTTGTTAAACTAAATACTAAATCCAGAGTTTTTAGCTACTAACTGTGTATCTGTTGTTTTAATAGTTTTAAATATTGTAATTTTTGGTAATTTTTGTTCCAACTAGTTAAATTTGCAGCTTTCTGGTAAAAAAAAAACCTAAAAAAAAACCACATAAAACTAAGATTGTGCTGCCTTCAGTGGACTCTGCTGTTTCAAGTAGTTGGTGACATCACACAAGACTCTCCATATGTTTCTGCAGGGGCGGAGTTTGAACCTGTTAGACCAATCACAGTGCTCCTTATACCTCCAGACCCCGCCCCACCTCCCCCCTCCAGTTTAGCAGCTCTATGGACGCGTCTCATTTCTCTTTCCTCGCTTCCTTCTCCTCGATTCCTCTCCTCCATTCTGCAGGAAATGGGTGAGGATGTCCCGCCCACAGAAGAGACACAGCGAACAGAGCGGATGTAAACTCCTCACTGAGACCAATAAAGTTTGATTCTTGTATCTGATTTTTCTGGTTTTCTTTGGGACACTGCTTAATATGACACATTTGACTGACAGCTGAAAAATGGAGGATCGGGGAGAGGAAACAAGAAAAAGGAAGCGAGGAAGGAGAAATGAGACACGGCCTGTTTGAAATGTGGTCGTGGGTGGAGTTTAGGTGTTTACCCACTTTAATAAACAAATGCAAAAATAGGATGCATTACAACTTTACAAAATAAGTTAGACACAGTTAGAGTCAGTGAATACACAAATAAATCTTTACTGTTTTCAACACTTGAGAAAATACCCAATGATTTTTATTCCCCACACATTCAATCACGTACAGAATAGTGATACAAAATAGAAATTTGTCTGAAATATGAGGCAAAAGTTAAAACTTCTGATTAGGTTTGATTGTCTGTGTTGATTAGAACAAAATATTATATTCTCTACAAACAAAGTCCATTCAGACCGGAGTGTCTGGAATGTCAGTCTTGGCTCAAAGTAGTTTGTGCAATGAAGGTCACATATTATGCTCAATTAACTTTTGTGTTTGTGTGTGTTTGTGTGTGTTTGTGTGTGAGTGTGTGTGTGTCAGTGTGTGTTTGTGTGTGAGTCTGTGCTTTCATATTTACTCAAAACATATCAGGAATTGACACTATCACTTACTGAGCTCAACAGTCCCACCGTCTTCAAACTCCGCTCTGTTTCCCCAAATAAATGTCCTATTCACTTTTCTCATAGACTTTTCGAAAAATAGAAATATTAAAAGTTCAAAGGCATCGCGAAGGCTAAATGCAAACTAATACATATAACACAGATGTTTTAAGTCCAAAAAGCACATTTAAAACTCAAGACTCAGCTAAACGTTTTAATGAAATCTAAGTTTATAAAGTTTCAGAAACAGATTTGAAATAAAAATTGTAGGTCTGGTGGTCATTCGTTACCGCCAGGGGTGTAGTGTGCGTGGTACGTGGGGGTACACGATGTGAGATATAAAAAAATAACAAAATATAAAATAGCTACAACTTAAATGTCAAACTGGAGCTATTGGCAACAGTGAAAACAAACTGCACAGGCTCATGATGTCTGCAGGACAGTCCTGTAGTGACCTGAGGCATGAGGGACCAGGACTGAACCAGGACTAAACCAGAACTGAACCAGGACTGAGTGTCGGGACGAGCCCAGACATGTGCCCGTGTAGACCGTCGGGTGACCGCAGGAGAAAGGACCGGTGCAGAGCTTCACGGGGCTAAGCACAGCCGTGGCCCTGTCGCACTTTCTCTCACTCTCAAGCCCAAGATTAGTCCTGGTTTAGTCCTGTTTAGTCCTGGTTTAGACCTGGTTTAGTCCTGGTTTAGACCTGGTTTAGTCCTGGTTTAGACCTTAGTCCGGGTTTAGTCCTGGTTTAGTCCTGGTTTAGACCTGGTTTAGACCTGGTTTAGACCTGGTTTTGTCCTGGTTTAGACCTTAGTTCTGGTTTAGACCTGGTTTAGTCCTGGTGTAATCCTGGTTTAGTCCTAGTTCAGCCCTGGTTCAGTTCTTGTTTAGTCCTAGTTTAGACCTGGTTTAGTCCTGTTTTAATCCTGGTTTTGTTTTGTTTTAGACCTGGTTTAGTTCTGTTTTAGTCCTGGTTTAGTCCTGGTTCAGTTCTTGTTAGGTCCTAGTTTAGTCCTGTTTTAATAATGGTTTAGTTTTGTTTTAGACCTGGTTTAGTTCTGTTTTAGTCCTGGTTTAGACCTGGTTTAGACCTGGTTTAGTCCTGGTTCATTTCTGGTTAGGTCCTAGTTTAGACCTGTTTTATTCCTGGTTTAATCCTGGTTTAGGCCTGGTTCATGTGTTGTAGCCTGATTCTGCATCATTTTGAGCAACAAAATGTCAAAAATTACAGATTTTTACTGGGCTGGCACCTTTATGTTTGTACTGAAAGTTTTCTCTTTTTTTTTTAGTATGTAGGTGGGCGGTGGACGTCACAAATCACATACCCTCACTTTAAAAAATCCCCCACTACACCACTGGTGACCACAGAGCTGATTAGCAATGAGAAGTCTTGCGAACTTTAAGAAACAGATTTTCTCAAGAAGTCTACTGGAAAAATTAATGTTAAATTTATTTGTAGAACCAGAGTGTGGGTGGCAGCTGTTGAGCTCTTTTGGTGGTGGCACAAAAAAAGCAGCCATGGTAATATGTTATGTTAATATGGCAGCTGTGTTTCCATTGCACACTCAGCACTTTCCAAAGATGCAAGTTTGGTCTGGTCTGAATTCAGATGGGTGTGATTGACAGGTGGATTAGCCAATCAGAAACTCATGGTCCGTTCATATCCAAAGAAATATGGCTGCTTATGAGGAAAAAATACAAATTCGAATGGCTGGAGTGAAGCATAATATGTGACCTTAAGTAAAAGTGCATTTCATTTGTGCATTTCTTTTCTTTCTGTCTTTTCTGCATCATGCCACACTTTGCCGGTTGCTCCCGGTGCTGTGAGTCGGACTTCCAGAGTATCTCCTGAAGTTCAGAAAAATCCCGTCTGCTTCAGTCTCGGAGTCCAGACTTTCCAACATGTTTTCCATCACCATTTCCGGGCTGGAGGTGGGACTGGGACCGGAGCTCGTGTCCTGGACCATGGCTCTGGAGGGGGAGGGGGAGGAGGAGGGGAGAGAGTCCGCCCCGTGAGCGTCCTCCACCGGGGAAGGTGAGGGGAGGAGGCTGGGCGAAGGCTCTGCTGCTCCACTCGACTCAGGTCTGGATGTCTGGTCTAGAGGTGAGTTGTCTGCAGATAAAAACATATAAAAACTGTATTATAATTTTGTATTTTATTCATTGGATCCACATAATCTTACATTGGTCCACACCAGACACAATTTGCATCAATAATATGTTATATTTCACACATAAACACTTTAAAATAAGCAAATATGTCACTGAATGTGCAATCTTACTTAGAATAAAGCAACGTATACACTTCTAATTATTGTTTTAATAACCTTTAAACCAGGGGAGTCAAACTCAAATTCACAGAGGGTCAAAATTAAAAACTGGGACTAAGTCGTGGGCCAAATAAATATTTATTGAAAAATGTCAGCAACATCTGCATGTTTTCTCTTCTGTCAAGATATGTAATGTTAAACCTTTTCTGAATAAAATAAATGTTTAATAATAGTTTTGCTTAAACATTAAATCCAGAACAAACATAACATAAAATAATATCAACATTCTAAATAAATAACGTCTCTATAGTTTATCTGTAACCAGCAGCAGCTCTAATATATATTTGATGTGATCTTGTGGGCCAAATATAATTATATCGCAGGCCAAATTTGGCCCCTGGGCCTGAGTTGGACATGTCTGCTATAGGACCTAGCCTGATTCATCAGCTGGTTTCACTTTGTGGAAACTGTCTGACCTCGCATCATTAGGATTCGTTCACTCAACAGTAGGCAGGTACTTTTTTTATTTAACCAATCGCTGCTATTTGGTTGTGACATATGAAATGTGCCAAATCCCGTAGGAAGAAGGACAATAACGTCTTTCCTCTAGATAAAATTCACCAAACATTCTCTTTATTCCAACTTTAAATCCTCGATCTTGGGAATCATTGCCAACACAGAATGTCTGTCTTCGTCTACATCCATCTTGACGCTTTGTTTTCTGTTGTGCTGTTCCACAAAGCAAATCAGACAGACGCTTGAGTTTGACGTCATGGCTTCACAGCTCTTCGCTGATTGGCCGATACGCGGTCTACAACTTTCAGAGTTCTTCCAAACTGTCTAATGTATTCTGATTCCTGACCTAGTCGCTGGAGAGAAATGAAATTGAACAGAGGCACTAGGTGGCACCAGGCAGAGCGATGAAATCTCCACAGAAACAAACAGGTAATGGACCCAAACCAAAAAGTTACATAGTGCAGCTTTAAAAAAAACAGCATTTTTAAAAATAATTATTTTCACAGGAGAGTTTTTCAGTACCTCAGTCAGTATTAATATATTGTTATTTCAGTATCTGCATCATATGAAAACCAAGCGATATGGCTGCATACATGCACTGACCTGAGTGTGTGCTGTCTGTAATAGAGGACTCAGTGGAGCCCTGTGATTGGCGGGTTCGTCTGGGTGAGTTGGTCAGACTGTTGGTGGTGTTGTTGTTAGCGTTTGCCCCAGACTCGCTCTCCTCCACGCACAGGGGCATCTCAGAGACAGAGTGCCTCCGGACGCCCACGCCCACCGCCCCGCTCTGGTCCGAGTCGTACTCCACCAGCGGCGTCAGCATCGGGACGTTGTAGCTTTTGGAGCGGACCACCGGGTTTTTAGCCGCGGGAGAGTTAGCGGGTTTGGACCAGGACGGCTGGATCCGCTTTTCTGGAGAATGGACAGATACAAAAATGAATAACTCAAAACTAGAGATGTAACGATATCCAAATCTCACGGTACGATATTTATTGCGATATTTTGAAGAGGCTGATATAATTGTAGATATGACACTTAGTTGCTTTTAAAATACCTTGACAAGATTTTGGTGTGAATTATTTCCATCATAAGCCCAAGAATTCAAGTAAAAAACATATTTATTCATGTTTTCTGCACTGAAATGAATCATGGGATATGTAGTTTCCAATGTTCATAAGCTGTTGCTACTATAAAACCATGTATTTAAGCAAAGGAACTTGTGATTTGATATATTCTGACTTCCCACGATATTATGGTTGAGACTTTTGACGATACGATATCACAATATTTCGGTTATTGTTACATTTCTACTCAAAACTGATCAGAACATACCAAAAAAAAAACACTTTAGGAACCACTGAGGGCTGATTGTCAAAGATAAAATAGTGAAAAAGAGAGACAAACTAAATCAGAACTGACCACATTTTGATAATTAACAAGCATCCCTTTCAGACAAAAATAGACCAAAATAAAAGCATGTTTTGTTTTGTGTGTTGTTTTTTTTTGGGAGGGAAGGATGGGGACGGACGTTAGAGAAGGACATCCTTCTGCTTGTTTACAGGAGGTGTTGTTCCTTTGGCTATAATTTCCCCCAGTGTGACGTAAAATTCCAGGCAGAAAGTTTTTTTTTTTACTTGAAATGTCCACAGAAATGTTTTAGGGGGTGACAAAAGAAGTGGTTACCCACCCAAAGGTCAGAGGATTGTTTCCAGCTCAGACCTGCTCTGTCTTGGGGCAGCTGTGGCTAAAACTATAGTTTACCCCCCTCGAGTGTGGAGTGACTGAAAATGCGCTGTGTAAATCTTACTTATTTTTAGGGGTGTAACGATACAATATCATCAGAGTATGAACTTCACGGTGCGATATTTATTGCGATATCGTGGGAAAGCTCACGATTAGGGATATAACAATATCCAAATCTCTCTGTACGATATTTATTGCGATATTTTGTGGAGGCAAACAAAACTGTTAATATGCTACTTTTTCCTCTTAAAATGCCTTGACAAGACTTAACCCAAAGAACTAAGACTTCAAAGTGCTTAGAACTGTTATTTCTTCTTGTAGTCTGCACTGAAATGGAGCAAAGGATCATGGTCTATGTAGTTCTCTCTGTATTTTTATTTTTTTTAAAGTTATTGCAGCACCATAACTCTTAATTTAAGCAAAGAGACTCGTAATTCGATATATCCACGATATTATTGTGAGAACTTTGATGATACGATATCACGATATTTCGGTTATTGTTACATCCCAACTTATTTATTATCAGAACAGTACATTGTTGGTCCTACTAATTTCCTGTAGACTCAATAAAAATACAGAGATTATAAATACCCAGCTTCTACCAGAGTGAAACACATGGTTACCTAAGAGACAGGAGGAGCACTGAGAGCCGGACAGTCCGTCTCTGGAGAACAGGCCGTGAGTGCCCAGGTACGGAGACACCACCTTCTGTATGAGCCCCTCCAGACGCAGGTATTCGTCCGTCACACCTTTGGACTCATGGACCCCCTGAAACACACACACGGCATTCATAAAATATACAGGGTCAATATGTTCATATGAAACAGCAGAGACAACAACAAACAGACTAAGACTAAGGAAAAATATCTCCACGCAGACCCTGCCTCAGAAAACTTAAATAGCGTAACTTTAATTACCATATTTTTTGGACTTTAAGTCGCTCTGGAGTATAAGTCGCACCAGCCAAAAAATGCATAATGAAGAATAAAAAAACATATATAAGTTGCACTTTTGGAGGGAAATTTATTTTATAAAATCTGCGACCAGGAACCAACATTTCATCTTCAAAGTAAAGTTATAGTAACGACAATAGAACAGAAAACAACAGACTGTTAACCAAGACCCGAATGATTCGCACGGCAGGTTTGAACTGCGTTAAGTTAAATGATAAAACTGTTCTTGTTATTTAAAGTGAAATGTTGCACTTTCACTTTTGGATAACGTTGGGTTGAGTCTGTGGCCTCTTGCGGCACTACACAATTTAATAAAAACATACAAAATTAAGTAACTGCATTGGGTATTGCAATATTTCTGGAAAATTGTATAAAAATTGTTTAATGATTTCAGATTTGAGAATGTGGTAATGTGATGACAGGTTTTTTCTATTGATTTCATTACACTTTGCATTGAAATATATATAAAAAAAAAAAGTAAATTCACAAATGTTGAACCTGGTTACCGTATTTTTCGGACTATAAGTTGCGCCGGAGTATAAGTCACACCAGCCAAAATAATGAGTAATGAAGAAGAAAAAAAACATAAGTCGCACTTTTGGGGGAAATTTATCTTACAAAATCAGAGACCAGGAACCGACATTTCATCTTCAAAGTCAAGTTCTAGTAAAAACAATAGAACAGAGAACAACAGACTGTTAACGTCACATATGAACAGTTCTTCAGATAAACTATAACATAAACAACAGAACAGAACAAGTTTAACAAACTCTCCATCTCACTCCAAATCACTAAATCCATTCAATTCTTCATCGTCGGTGTCACTTCTGAGCAACTCCACGACCTCCGGAGGTAAACAGAGCGTCGCTTCCTCTTCTGTGTCGCTGTCGTCAGACTCAGCATCAGTTCCAGTTAGAATTATTCGGGCCTTTCTGAATCCCGACAGGATGGTTTCGGTGTCACTGAAGTCCAGGTTTTGTCCATCCATCCACTGACTCCAGGAAAGTTTCTTGGTGCATCCTCCCAGTTGCCGTGAAGCTGTGTTCTCCATCCCTGCTTTTCCCCAGTCCCTTACAAGTTTCTTACTCACTCCAAACTTTCTTTCTGTGACTCAATTACCATTTTTGGCTGAATATTTCACTACTTGCAGCAGGACAGAGGCTCTTTCTGCAGGAGACATGTGCAGTAGAGTGAAGTGACAGTGGTACAGGAGGAACAGGAGCAGCAGATACCAACACACAAGACTAGAGCCTCTCGTGGCTTCAGTGTGAAAATTTTAATATATAAGTCACAGGAAACACCCAAACCATGAAAAAAATGCGACTTATACTGGCACTGAATCTGCAGCTTGACAAATTTAAACTTAATCTAACTACACCACCTTTGAGCATTATATTTTCTGTAACACAACTGACTTCTGTCTTATCACCACAAAGACATTTCTGATGATTTGTTTAATGTAATTTGACCACATTGAGTCCTGGTTTAGTCCTGGTTCAGTCCTGGTTTAGTCCTGGTTCAGTCCTAGTTCAGTCCTAGTTTAGTCCTGGTTCAGTCCTGGTTCGGTCCTAGTTTAGTCCTGGTTCAGTCCTGGTTTAGTCCTGGTTTAGTCCTAGTTCAGTCCTAGTTTAGTCCTGGTTCAGTCCTGGTTTAGTCCTGGTTCAGTCCTAGTTTAGTCCTGGTTCAGTCCTGGTTCAGTCCTGGTTTAGTCTTGGTTTAGTCCTGCTTCTACCCTGATTTAGACTGAGTTTAGTCCTGGTTCAGTCCTAGTTTAGTCCTAGTTTAGTCCTGGTTCAGTCCTGGTTTAGTCCTAGTTTAGTCCTGTTTAGTCCTAGTTTAGTCCTGTTTAGTCCTGGTTTAGTCCTGGTTCAGTCCTAGTTTAGTCCTGGTTTAGTCCTAGTTTAGTCCAGTTTAGTCCTGGTTTAATCCTGGTTCAGTCCTAGTTTAGTCCTGGTTCAGTCCTAGTTTAGTCTTGGTTTAGTCCTTTTTTAGTCCTGGTTTAGTCTTGATTTAGTCCTGGTTCAGTCCTAGTTTAGTCTTGGTTTAGTCCTTTTTTAGTCCTGGTTTAGTCTTGGTTTAGTCCTTTTTTAGTCCTGGTTTAGTCTTGGTTTAGTCCTGCTTCTACCCTGATTTAGACCGAGTTTAGTCCTGGTTTAGTCCTGGTTCAGTCCTAGTTTAGTCCTGGTTTAGTCCTGGTTCAGTCCTGGTTTAGTCTTGGTTTAGTCCTGCTTCTACCCTGATTTAGACCGAGTTTAGTCCTGGTTCAGTCCTAGTTTAGTCCTGGTTCAGTCCTGGTTTAGTCCTAGTTTAGTCCTGTTTAGTCCTGGTTTAGTCCTGGTTCAGTCCTAGTTTAGTCCTGGTTTAGTCCTAGTTTAGTCCTGGTTTAGTCCTAGTTTAGTCCAGTTTAGTCCTGGTTTAATCCTGGTTCAGTCCTAGTTTAGTCCTGGTTCAGTCCTAGTTTAGTGTTGGTTTAGTCCTTTTTTAGTCCTGGTTTAGTCTTGGTTTAGTCCTGCTTCTACCCTGATTTAGACCAAGTTTAGTCCTGGTTCAGTCTTGGTTTAGTCCTGGTTTAGTCCTGGTTTAGTCCTGGTTTAGTCTTGGTTTAGTCCTGGTTTCGTCCTGGTTTAGTCCTGGTTCAGTCCTGGTTTAGTCCTGGTTTAGTCTTGGTTTAGTCCTGGTTTAGTCCTGGTTTAGTCTTGGTTTAGTCCTGGTTTAGTCCTGGTTTAGTCCTGGTTTAGTCCTGCTTCTACCCTGATTTAGACCGAGTTTAGACCTGGTTCAGTCCTTGAATACTGGCCTCTTGTTTGGCCTGTAGCAGTGGAAAACCTAAAAACTGTAAAACTATTTCTTTGGATAAACCAGGAAACCAGCCACTTTGTTTTCTGCGATTAACAATAAATAGCCCATGAATAAATTTCAGAGCAAAACCGGCCTGAGTTTGTATTTTTGTTCTTCTTGCTTCTTCCAAAATGTAATTAAATTGTGACAGTTTTTCCAGTAAACCTGATACACGCGGCACCAGACCTGTGTTTTTAATGAGAAGTAGAACAGCTAATCATTTGAATAGTGCACCGGCGTCCAAACCACAGCTCAGAAAAAAACACCACAAGAAAAAGCTTCACATCAATGAACCAACGTCACAACTTTAACTTCAAGTAAAGGAAATTACTAACACATGAAACGGCAGCAGTAAAATGGACCTGTGAAGTTAAAAAACAGTAAAACTTTGGGTCTCTTTAGTTTTAAAAGTGCACAAATTTGACTCTTGTGAGCTTTAAGTCGTGTTATAATGTTGTTTCCTCCTCAAAAACAGACCTGCAGTTGTGTTTTATTTCATTCTGTCTACATCTCTAAAGCTCAAAATGCTCTGTTTCACCTTGTGATGTCATTTTTACCTTTGGTTCAGTCGAGATTTTCAATTCCAGAGCTGAAATTATCCAAATAATTATAGTGAAGGTGTTTTCAGTTTGAGAGAAAAGTTACTTAAATGTGAAACAGCAGTAATAAAAGTGTGAAAATAATAAGAAAAAAAGCGGAAACTAAGTGGTGAAGATTTCTGTTTGCAATTAGTTAATAAACCGCATCAATTGTGTTTTTTTATTATTTTTTTATTTATTTTATTTTTTTATTGAATTTATTTATTTCTATTCTATGATTTTGCTCTTATTTTATTTTACTGGTTTTATTATATTAAGACTAATATGATTATTGAACCAGGACTACCAGGAAACCAGGACTTGAACCAGGACTATTCTAACAGGACTACTGAACCACTTTGAACCAGGACTTACTTGAACCAGGACTAACCAGGACTAACCAGGACTGAACCAGGTCTCTGAACCAGGACTGAACCAGGACTGAACCAGGACTGAACCAGGACTGAACCAGGACTGAACCAGGACTGAACCAGGACTGAACCAGGTCTAAACGTTATTATGTATTAGTGCAGCACTTTGGAAACTGTTTGTTTGTGAAATGCTATAGTGCTACAGAAATAAAGTTAATTGGATTGGATAATAATTGTGCCTGAACTGAAATGTACTGATTTGAAACGTTTTAAAGTATCTATCAGAGTTAATGTTTTGTCTTGAAAAGGGAAAAGGCGGCAGATAACATAAGATGACTCTTCTTCTGCTCCTTTTCATTCATTTCTTGTATGTCTGACGCTGTGACACTGTTCATGTCTTTTTATACTTTATGAATGAAAGAAATAAAATTCTCCATGGAGATGTTATGGCGTTGCCTGAAATGTTTCACAGTTTGTCATTAAACATATTTATGTCCATGGAAGCATTTAGATGACACAACCAGGTCAAGGTCAGGTCTAAGGTTACGTTTATATGATGACGGTCTGAACAGAAGACGCAAAAGTGGATGTCGCGTCTTCACTTTTTATTCCGCGTTTAGACGAGCGTTTTCAAGAGGAAATCTGCTTGCATACGGTGACGCAATAGTGTGTGGAATTCGATAGAGTATGCATTCCAGGTTTCTGTGTACTGTATGTAGGTGACGTAAACGTGTACGTGACCTGAGCAGATCTGACCAGAGTTTTGCGTCTTGGGCAGTGTAGACGGAAACGCTACGGCGGAGTGTATTCAAATTTTCCACTCTGGAGGATGGTTTCAGATTTTTGCGTTTTTAATCCCCAAAAACATCGTCACCGTCTAAACGAAAGGCACTTCTGATAAAATATTTAGTCGTTTTTACCTGCAAGCATTCTCGTGTAAATAGGCCCTGAATTTAAAGCCTCATGGTGGAAATATCTATATATATCATATCGTTTAATGTAATGATACAGTATCGATATCGAAGCTGCTGTATCAATATATATCACCAAGAGTATTTTTTTGTGTATTTTACTAAATTATTTTGTTACAGTGCTACAGTTTTGTTGCTTGTTTAGAGGAAGGAAACTCTTTTATGCAACACGTTTGACATTTTCACTGTTTTGGCAAATGTTTGTGTTTCATATGAACTTTGCACAAGAAGTGGTTTCACAAAGACTTTTAGTTTCAGAACCATGATTAAGCCATTATTTTTTATTGAACTGTATCGAATTGATTTGAAATATATCGTATCAAACCGAAAGTGCACTGTATCGAGACATGTATCGTATCGGGGCCTATGTATCGAGATATACATAGGGGGGCATATACACTGGGGCGGCAGTAGCTCAGTTGGTAGAGCATTCACCCACTGATCTGAACAGGTTTGACGTGGCTGATTTCCACAGATGAATGCTGTCATTGTGTCCTTGGGCAAGACACTTAACCCACCTTGCCCACAGTGTCTGCGTACACTGGTGTGTGAATGGGTGAGTGGTTCCTTGTTGTAAAGCGCTTTGAGTGCCTTGAAGGTGGAAAAAGCGCTATAGAAAAATATGACCATTTACCATATGTATCGTTGTACTACTTAATGATACGCAGCCCTACTGTGAAACATTTCAGGTATCGCAAAAACATCTCCATACGACATTCAGGTCGCGCACATCTACCAGAAATGAGACAAGACAAGGAATATTATTGTAATATAAACTACTGGTTAGAAGTTTTAGAACACCACACTTTTTCCAGTTTTGTTCTGTTTACTGTTCACCAAAACATATTCTAAACTTTTGGTTCATGAAAGTGTCCACCTTTGGCAGATGTAACAGCTGAACACACTCGTGGCTCGTTCTTTTTACAACAGAAATCAAATATTCCTCAGAAATTTCTTCCCAAGTCTGTTGCAGAAGTTTCCATAAATGTGTGGCACTTGTAGGTTTCTTGGCTTTCATTCTTCTGTCCCCAAAACCAGCTCGATGGGGTTTAAGTCTGGACACTGTGCTGCTGGACACATGTTTTCAAGTTTTACCATCTTGTTCTTTTTTCCTGAGGTAGTTTTGGCAGAACTTGGACTTGTTGTGTTTTGTATCTTTATCTTTTTTTTTTTTAACCTCTGTCTGTTCAGTTCTTTGCACCATTTCAAGCTCTTCATTGGACTTGCACGACTTGAATTGCAACAAATAACTGGGAAAAATTAGGGTGTTATAAAACTTTTGACCAGTTGTGTATGTTCACCAAAATATTCTTTTTTGCAGCTGAGGTCAGGCTTTTTTCATAATAAGATCAATAACGTGTTAAAAGTTAAGATGAGTGAATTAAAAGTTAGAGTTAGGGTTTAGGTTGAGGTTTGGCAAGTACTAAGTATGGTTAAGGTTAGATTAAGTGTTCAGGAAATGAACGCACATCCTAAAATAATGGAGAGGCACAGAGAGAGAGACACAATAAGAGTGAGAACAGAAATCCAGCATGTGTGGTCGAGTATTGGTGGTGTTAAGTGTTTAATTCCTGTGTTTTTACTGTTTTAAAGCAGCACATGCTCTGCTCTCTTTACACGAGTCTTTATGGTGGTGTTTACGTGCAGATCTCTGAGGGCCAAACAAACAGATGGTTTACACAGACTCACTGGGGCAGCCTGGTCATGGGAAGAGGCCTGCGCTCTCTCTTCACACACACCACTTCCTGTAGGAGTCAACACGTTCACTACATCCTCTGCTCTACATTCTCTTTCATTTTTTCACGGCGACGGTGTCCCAGTTAAAGGTTGTATGGAGGATTTTTTTTTTTTTTTGGTTTCAAATTGTCAGTGAAAGTTTAAAATACCATTACAGAAACGCAGCAGATGACCAAAAAAAAAAAAAAAAGAATGAAAATGTATCAACTGTGGACGTAGAGAGGCCAGATAAACATGAGCCAATAGAAAACGAGGCTCCCTCATTTTCTATTGGCTGTTAGGTCGTCAATCAGACTCCCTACGTTTCTAGTGTAACTGACTCGCCGGCGTGTGGGGATTATGTGGTTTATGCAGCGGTTCTTAGAGGCTTTTTCAAACTGTCGCTTCCTCGCAATTCGCACAAAGTTTGTTGCGATGGCCGACGAGAATCCACGACAAGTTCGCCGCAAAAGAAATTCGGTTTTTGAGGTCGCTGAAAGAAGAAGAGAAGGAGAAAAGGAGCAAAGACAAACTGAGGTGATTCTTGGAGATTCCTTCCAGCGATGGCGTGACTGAAGCAGACGAAGGATTTAAAAAACTGACGCGTCGGTCGCTAAATTATTTCTAGACGGGTCACTTCAACAGTAATTGTGAACGCGCACTGGCCGTAAACAAACGTGATTTCTGGAGTAACGAGGCGGGAGGAGGTGTTTCTACTGAGGGAGCTGTTGAGGAGGGAGGTGGTGTCACGCATGCACAACATTTGAAAAAGGACTGTCGCTGTATTTCACTTCCCTTAAAAAATCCTCTATACAACCTTTAATAGAGCGTTTGGTTGGTGTTCAAATTCTGTTCTCGGTGTAAACATTATTGGTAGTGAGTCATAGCCGCTGATCCACAGGTTGGTGGTGCGATTCCAGCTCCCACAGATAAATGCTGTTGCTGTGTCCTTGGGCAAGACACTTGACCCATCTCGTCACCGGTGTGTGAATGGGTGAGTGGCTCCTTGCCGTGGCCATACCGGCTCGTCAAAGCTTGATCCCGTCAGATCTCAGAAGCTAAGCGAGGTTGGGGCTGATTAGTACTTGGATGAGAGACGTCTGGGAAAATCAGATGCCGCAGTGGAGTGGAAAGTGGTGTGTGCGTGAGCGTTGGTGGTGTTCAGAGGGGCCGAGGGCACAGACTGGCAGCAGCGCTTCTGTTAGTCTGTCCCAGGGCAGCTGTGGCTACAATAGTGGCTTACCATCACCGGGTATGGAGTGATTGTATAATGCTCTGTAAAGTGTCCAGAGTGTACAAAAAAGCACAATATAAAACTGATACATTATTATTATTATTATTATTATCTGGTCCCCCCAGGTTGACCAGTTTTTGTATTCACCCTGTGTGTCTGTGTGTCCGTCCATCCGTGATCATTCCGCCATTTATGGACCGATTGTCACCAAATTTGGTACGTGGGTCAAGCCCCCGAGTCTGATGCCTCAAAAAAAAAAAAAGTTTGGTGACGATCCGAGGTCATTTGAGGTCACACGGGTCAATTGAAAGGTCACGCCGTTATAAAGGATGAGGCAATTTCGACAATTTCTGAACCATCTGTGGGCTAAAATATTCACCCAATCATCACACAAGTTGGCACACACATAACCGGGGGCACTGGATGTTACAGGTTGAAACAGGTCAAGGTCAATTATGCGTTTTTGGTCATAACTCCGTGAAGGATCGAGCTAGAGCAACGGGAGTGGTCTCAAAATCTCAGAAAAAGTAAACACAGACATTCTCATGTGTGACCAATATCACACAAATGTTCATGGGCCTGTACAGATAGACACATTGCATTGTGGATATAACGATCATGTGATATGGGCGGGGCTCCTCATAAACTGCTTCTGTGGTGATCAGCTGCCCCCACCGATGCCTCATGGGGGACCAGGTTGCTGTTTCTGATTGTGCTTGTTATTGATGTAAAGTGTTTTGAAGGTTGAAAAACGCTATATTAATATGTGACCATTTACCTTTTTTTTTAAACATGCTTTACTGAAAATGCAACATTATTAATGCAGAACTTTGTAACTTTTCTTGGCTGGAATAATGCGTAGTATAGAATTAAACTTCTCTATCTCAACATGGATAAAGGTGACGACAGTAGGCAGAGTTACAGGTAAGATCTGGGGAGAAGTTACCCTCATTTACAGTAACAGTGCAAACTGTACACACCAGGTAACGTCATATCTCCATGGAGACAAACTGTTGGACCACCCTTCACTAGAAAGCTTAATTAGTATATATTCTACTTATAAACACAATCTACATGTTGGATCCTTTGATAAAATTAGCTTTTAAACACTGAGGATGCACTATGTAACTTTTTGGTTGGGTGTCGGGATGTAATTTCTCACCCTGGAATGTTCCACAGTGTGACATTAAACAGCTCTACCTTACATTTATTCAATTACAGGTCATTTTATAGCTCAAAAATATCAACCCCCTACCAGAAAAGTTACACAATGCACCTTTAAAAATGCAAATGTTTATGTTTAATATCACTGTAGTTGTAGTATTTTGTATGTTTTCATGTATTAGACTGTAGACAGTAGATTGAAGTACCTGTAGTATGAGCAGCATCTGGATGATGGAGGGCGGGACTCGGGCTCGTGGTTTGGACAAAGCTTCCTCCAGTTTCAGGTTCAGAGTGATGATGTTTCTGAAGTGAAGCAGAGCCAGCTGACGAACTGACGGCTCTTTACCCTAAAAACAACAGCAGTGTATCTTTAACCTCTTATTGTGGATAATTTCAACCTGATTCTTCAAATGGTTTCACTTGGTGGAAACCATCTGACTCACAGCGTAAGGTTTCACGCTCGACGGTAGGCGGTACTTTTTAAAATTTAAACAATCGCTGCTATTTAGTTGTGACTTATGTAATATGCCAAATCCTGTAGGAAGAAGGGCAATAACGTCTTCCATTGATAAAATTCATAAAAAGGCTTTAAATCTCGGGAATTGTTGCCAACACAGAATGTCTGTCTTTGTCTACATTCATCTCGACCGCTTTGTTTACTGTTGTGCTGAACCACAAAAGGGACCCAGCTCTTCACTGATTGGCCGGCATGCAGTCTACAACTTCCAGGGTTTTTACAAACCGTCATTCCGGCATCCGATTTCTGAATTAGTCGCTGGAGAGAAATGAAATTGAGCAGAGGCACTAGGTGGTGCCAGCCTGGCTAACATTTTTGGGGTTAAATATAAGAATATATATAGCTACTGTCAAGGAGGGATGGTCTCAGAGACAGCAGAATGAACTTTTGTTCGGTCTTGACAATTCCCATGTCAAAGTTAAAGCATATCGCATTAAACATGAGATTTAAGGACTTGTAATGAGACAAAGAAGTCCAGGAGGTACAAGGGCCTGTATCAGCCCCCTCGGAAGATGAACAGGATGTAATAAATGATCTTATCTTGTACCTGAACAGGGTAGAAAATGGCCAGCAGCATGGACAGAACGTCACAGAAGAAGAAGTCCCAGGTGTCGGCCAAAGAGTCCAACAGTTTCTGACCTGAAACACACAAGAATCACTGTAACTTTGAGGTTTGGCCCCTGTTTACAGTCTGGATTTTAGGTAACAGTTATGGAATTTTCTTTTTTTTCCATATCTGTTACCTGTGTGCAACCTGGAAGTACCAAAACCAAAAAGTAGGTAAAACTATTAAATATAATAACTAAGTTTTAGTAAAATAAGAAGTCTAAACTGTGACATGCACTTTAACTCTTCACTGAAACAACGCCTGGTCCAGCTGCGACTGTCCTCTCACTGCTTTGTTCTGAACACTTCTCTCAGTCTAAGGTTTATACTTGAACATTTTTCATTCAAGTCCTTTAGATTTTTTGTCTTGAGACTAAACCAGTTTCATTTGCTGCTTTTTACCACATAGTTTAGAATTTTAGACATAAAACCTCATTTCTCACGTGTTGTAGACGTGTGGAGACACTTTTTGAAATATTCCATCCAGTCCTTGTATGTACAGAGGTCGCTGGTGCTCCACAAGCACCCAAAACAAATCTATTATTACACCAGACTGTTGATGTAAATGTCTGTGAGGATAGAATAATTTTAGAAGTAAAACCAACCTTGCATTTAAAGGATTTATGTCTGAGCAGCAGCAAGTTGTACTTCCTGATAGAAAGCTCGGCAGCGGCGGACTGATATATAAGAAAATAGTCCCTCAACATGCGACGATTCATGCGATGCAAGGTTAGTTTTATTTCAAACATTATTCTATCAACACAGACATTCACATCAACAGTCTGGTGTAATAATAGATTTGTTTCAGGTGTTTTGTGGAGTGGGTAAGACTGTTTTTAGTGGCAGGATAATCTATGACCATTGACATGCACTAGTCTAGCACCAGCGACCTCTGCAAATACAAGGACTGGATGGAAATGTGTCTCCACACGTCTCCAACACTCTGGCTCACTAGGAAATGAGGCTCTATGTCCAAAATTCTGAACTGTCCCTTTAACATTTACTCAGATCCATGAATATACACGACAACCACAACTTCCTTTACTACAAAGATTTCAAGGCTCCTTAGAATTTGTTCAATCACTAACCACTAAAACACAATATAACCTTGGGACTTAATCATTTACTAAAATCCATTACAGTCCCCAAACTTTTTTTTCTTGTAAGGACCTTTAAGGAGGCCAGTGGAAGGGGGCAGGGCATATAATAGCAGCACAAAATGCATAAAACAATTACCTATAGTTTGAATAAGTTGTAGTATTATTGTTTACCGGTTCATTAGCATTATATATTTTAATATTTTGAGTAAAACAAATACATATGACGGTACACTATAATAAAAAAGTAAACACCTTTTAAAGATGTATAATATTTTCCTGTGGGGCCCAGAACCAGATGGTCCACGACCCAGTTTTGGGCCCCAAACCGGTGGTTGGGGCCACAGCAAATACAATAATAACACTGAATTCACACTTTACTCTTGGCCGTAATCATTACAGCACTTCTACTACCACAACAATAACCAGCCTACTACGTTTCCGACAAAGATTTCATAGCTTCTTAGAACATTTGTTAACCACTAAAACACAATTTAACCTTGGGACTTAATCATTGACTCAGATCCATGCTCTGTTTACAGCCCACACTCCGCAGCTGTTATTGATCTACTCCGGCTCTGTGGGAGTGAATGAGATAATGTCCCGACTCTGAACCAGATCTGAGGCTCGGGTTTGCAGTGACTGACGCAGATGTACTTCCTGTTTGGTCAAAGAGGCAAAATGAAACCTGTATGTGGTTTGACATCAGATCAGTTTATCAGTAACCTGCACGGAAATACCACACATCTTTAATCGCTTTAGCCACCTTTAAACACACTTTTGTTGTCATTCAAAAAACAATGCCTGCGTAGTACATGTCAGAGTGTGAATACAGATTTCAAATGTTAAAAACTGACACTTTGTTCCAAACCATGCACATATTATGAAAAAGTAAAATTTTAGTTATTTAGAGTTAATATTCTTTATAATTAATAAGAAATAAAAGGGTATGCGTGTATTTGTAATTAAGACCGCATTCACATTTCACATGCACAACATCCAATCTGCGACTAAACTGGGACTTAACCCAGAACTAATCCTGGATTGAACCAGAACTACATCAGGCAAAGCAAGTTTATTTGTAAAGCACAATTTGTATAGCCTGATTCATCAGCCGGTTTCACCTCGTGGAAACCGTCTGACCTTGCAGCATTAGGATTCGTTCGCTTGACGGTAGGTGGGTACTTTTTCATTTAACCAATCGCTGGTATTTGGTCGTGACGTATGTAATGCGCCGCAAATGGGACTAACTGGTACATTAAGCTTTTCTCAAATTCCGTAGAAAGAAGGGCAATAATGTCTTTCCTCTTGATAAAATTCACCAAACATTCTCTTTGTTCCGGCTTTAAATCCTCGATCTCGGGAATCGTTGCCAACACAGAATGTCTGTCTTCGTCTACATCCATCTTGACCACTTTGTTTACTGTTGTGCTGTGCCACAAAAGGGACACAGACATGGCTTCACAGCTCTTCACTGATTGGCCAGTGCGTGGTCTACAACTTCTAGGGTTCTTGTAAACCATCTAGTGTATTCTGTTTCCTGACCTAGTTGCTGGAGAGAAATTAAATTGAGTGGAGGCACTAGGTGGCACCAGCCTGGCTCCAATTCATGCACAAAATAATTCAAAGCGATAAGAAATACATTAAAATCACAATATAAACAAATCAAAACATAAATAATCATCATAAAAATAAGAAAGAGAGACATTAAATGAGAGAGAAGAGTGTGGAATAAAAACTGTTCAGTTTTGCACAGCTAAACAGAACTATTTTGAACCTGGATTTAAACAGAGTCAAAGTAGAGACATGTCTCACATGTTCAGGAAGACTGTTTCAAGTTTTAGGACCAAACCTGGTCTACATGAGGACTAAACTGGGCTTAAACCAGGACCAACTCAAGATAAATGTGAATGCACCCTAAGGTTAAGCTACTGCATACTACACAGCACTAAGTTTAGGACTATAAATTAAAATGTATACATCAAATAGTGATTTTTTTTTCTTCTTTTTTTTTTGGTGTTGTATAACACGGGTAAAATATGAATATATGATACCAGTATCCACACACATTTGTCGGAAATCAAGCCAGGAGTGAAAAAACTGAAACATTTGCACTGATTGTCACAAAAAATTTAAATATGGTGCTCTAGAACTGGATGTGCCCTAAAAATAAAATAGTATGATGGACAAAATTAATGTCCATGTTGGATATGAGCGTGTATCTTCTGTTGTATATATATACATATATATATATATATATATATATATATATATATATATATATATATATATATATATATATATTGGCAGGGCGTAGCTGTTGATTGCCTGCACCTTGTTTCTTGCCATTGAGCTGGCTTCTAAGGACTGAAGTGGCTGATATCAAGAAATCCTACCAATGGCTTGAGAGGGCTGGTCTGAAGGACAGCACAGAGGCACTGATCCTGGCTGCTCAGGAGCAGGCCCTGGGCACTCGAGCAATAGAGGCCCAGATCTACCACACCAGACAAGACCCACGGTGTAGACTGTGCAAAGAGGCTCCTGAGACAGTCCAGCACATAACTGCGGGGTGTAAGATGCTGGCAGGGAAAGCATACATGGAGCGACATAACCAAGTGGCGGGCATAGTGTACAGAAACATCTGTGCAGAGTACGGGCTGGAAACCCCAGGATCAAGGTGGGAAACACCTCCAAAGGTTGTGGAGAATGACCAAGCCAAGATCCTGTGGGACTTCCAGATACAGACTGACAGGATGGTGATGGCGAACCAACCAGACATAGTGGTGGTGGATAAGAAACAGAGCAGAGCCGTGGTGGTTGACATCGCAATACCAAGCGATGGTAATATCAGGAAAAAGGAACACGAGGAACTAGAGAAATACCAGGGGCTCAAGGAAGAGCTGGAGAGAGCCTGGAAAGTAAAGGCATCAGTGGTGCCTGTGGTGATCGGACACTCGGGGCTGTAACCCCCAAACTGGAAGAGTGGCTACAACAGATACCGGGAAAAACAACAGACATCTCAGTCCAGAAAAGTGCAGTACTGGGAACAGCAAAGATACTGCGCAGAACTCTCAAGCTCCCAGGCCTCTGGTAGAGGACCCGAGCTGAATGAGGGTGAGAGACCTACCACCGTGGAAGGTGAGAAACACATTTTTTTTATATATGTATATATGTGTGTGTGTGTGTGTGTGTACCTTCTGTTGTAAATATATGTGTGTACCTTTTGTTGTAAATATGTGTGTGTACCTTTTGTTGTAAATATGTGTGTGTACCTTTTGTTGTAAATATGTGTGTGTACCTTCTGTTGTAAATATGTGTGTGTACCTTCATAGAATCGTATCTTGTCCCTGAGGATGACCATGCCTTTGGTGAGCAGCTGGTTCTGGAGATACTCAGTGAAGAAGGAGCCCAGCTCAGTCTTCAGCAGCTGCCTGTGAACAGAGCGTGAGGTGAGTGATAAGACGAGATAACACGTCATATTTTGAAGTAGGTTTTGTATTTAATTGTTTTGACATGACTTCATCATTTTACTCTAAGTCACTGAAAGTTGAGGATCAAAAATGTTACTTCAAAAAGTTAAAACTCGCCGATAACTGTTGACAATGTTGATGTTGACTTGTTGATACGAATGCTTTTTGCCTTTTTGCTGCCGCTGCCCAAACGTGATGTCATTGTGTTTTCTTGTATCAAATTAACCCATCCATTTTTAATATATTCAATGACATTCAGCTGTTTTGAATACCTAGACCAGGGGTGTCCAAACTTTTTTTTATCAAGGGCCACATATCAAACACCGACAAAGCCGTAGACTGGTGCTCAATACAGTGAATTTTTCAAAGAACTTGCAGTAAAAAGTTTATTTTTAATTCATGCAAAGTCATTTGGACCTATTCACCTGGAAGCCTGACGGCCAAGAAAAATTTGTCTGAGGGCCATATTTGGCTCATGGGCCACAGTTTGGACATGCCTGACCTAGACAAAACTGTGCTTTTGTTTTGTGTTTGTTAGTATGAGCCGGGTCACCGCTGCACAGATCTGACCTGTAATTTGACATCACATGATTGGCTCTGAAATATTCTGGGTAAATCAGTAACATCTCCATGGAGACAAGCTGGCATCAGATCCTCCACCAGAAAATGTACATAGTGAATCTTTAATAAACTAATAATAAAACTGGTTCCCATAGTTAACACGAAAAGCACAATACACACACATATACACACAAATCTAAACAAATTACAATTAGTGCCTCTCTTTACTGTTGGCAGGTACCGGATTGGTCAAAAATAGGGACACTTCTTGTATAAAACTGGGACAAATAAATGGTTTTGGATCAATCTGCTGGGACAGGGGACACTGCTCAAAACTGGGACTGTCCCGGGTCAATAGGAACATCTGGTCTGAGTGTTTATGTCATTTTTAAGGAGCTTTTCTGTATTTTACCAAAACAAATGACTTATGTCTCTCTTTACTGTTGGCAAGTACCAAATTGGTCAAAAATAGTGACACTTTGGACATTTCTTGTATAAAACTGCGACAAATAAATGGTTTTGTATAAATCTGCTGGGACACGGGACAATAGGAACGTCTGGTCACTTTAGACCAGAGTATCCAACCTGTAACTCGGGAGCTACTGGTAGTTCTCCACCCCCTTCCTAGCAGCTCACTAACAGATTTCTGAATTACACTTATTGTGCTGAATAAGTAAAAACTGATTCAATTTCACCGTTGTACATGTATCATTTTGAGCCTAACTTTATACACTAATAAATGGATAAAGGTTTATGTTTTATAGGCATCTAACATCGGGTGACCAGATTTTCTCAATCAAAAACTGGGACACCGCTGGTTTGAGGTGGTTGGTAATAATAAAACTGTGAAACAAGTGCGTAATTAATGAAAACTTTTCTGTACTCGGCCCATTCATGAAGAGTGTTTTTATCATTTTTAAGCAGCTTTTCTGTATTTTACCTAAGGGTTCGGTCAAGTGGTAACGGAGGGAAACAGGGGCAGATTTTTTACATTCAAATGTCTCTTATTCAGAAACTAGAGGGACTATTGAAATAAGTAAAGTATCAGAATGTAGGAAAGAGTTACACTCCAACAGGGTCAAGTTAAACCTGTGATATTCTTTCAAGTTGTTGACAAAAAATTTTAAAACTCATGTCGGTAACGGAGGGAATGAAATATGCAGCACTTTTTGGACAATAAATACAAACAGTGATAACTCTTGGTTCTCACTTACACATCCTTAACAAACTGGTTTGAATATTTGCTTCATATAGTTTTCTACCATATGGTACAAGATTAGGTTGAAAAACCTCTTACTTTTTGAGTCATGAGATTTTTTATTAAGAAAAGTCATGGTAACGGAGGGAAAAGTAATGGAGGGAAAATTATGCATGATTTTGCATAATTTGTCAGATTTTTCTTCCGAATACTTTAATATTACTTCAAAATGAAAGGAAACTATTTCTATAAAATATGTCAGTCCTTCCAAGCAAATTTTTATCATTTTAGATACATTTTTTTTGAAAAATCATGTACCTTCATCAACAGTTCAAAGATGGAATAACACAAGATATGATGAAATACATCCATTTATTTACATGATTTTCAGGTCTTTGAAATTTGGGAAATAATTTTTGTTCCATGTTTCACACATGGTCTGTTTAAAACGTATGTAACTTTAGAACCAAAAATGGTACAGAAAAAAGGTCAACAGTTTCATAAACTAGAGTACATATGTATCTGTTCAATACATTTTTATATCAGATGCATTAACTTGAATTTTTGGCCTTGCTGTTTACTTCTGCTTGACCGGGCCCCTAAACAAATGACAATTTATGTCTCTCTTTACTGTTGGCAGGTACCAAATTGACCAAAAATAGGGACAGTTAGGACATTTCTTGTATAAAAATGGGACAAATAAATGGTTTTGTATAAATCTGCTGGGACACGGGACACTGCTCAAAACTGGGACTGTCCCGGGTCAACAGGGTCGTCTGGTCACCCTAAACCTTTTGTGCCATGAGGTGGAACATTTCACTTAAAGCAATAACATCTCCATGGAGACAAGCAAGCAGTGGCAGAGCTTCCACCAGGAAAGTTACATAATGCATGTTTAAACTCGTCATCACCTGCCTTAAAAAGTACATTAAAAGTTTGTAAAAAGTCAGTACTGTGCGTCAGACTTTTAAGACTTTTAGTGACTGTTTGGACGTGTAACTGTGTGGGATTAGTGTCTGAGCGCAGGGTGGAAAATTACACAGGAAGTTATAATTTTGGTAATTTTCCCCAAAGCAGCCCGGCCTCAAGATTCACTGTGGTGTTAAAAGAGGAAAGTATGGCTGGTCTTAAATTAGCTTTATAATAAAATGCTCCACTGACCTGACGCCTTCGTTCAGAGTGTACAGTTCATTCTCTCCCATGTCCTTCTTCTGGAACACCGCGATCACTGCGTTGTGGATACTGGGAAAACAAGAAAAGATAAATATTTAGTTAGTTTAGTGTTAAAAAGTAAAAACTGTCAGTAAAGAGGTCCCAGGATAAGGAAGTACTGCGATTAAGCTTTGTAAATATATTAAAGTTAAAGTTCTAGTGCAAATCTAAATAGGAAAAAAGTTAATGAGTGATCCACCCTTTTCCTCTCCCTCTCCCTTTTGAGCGCACAGTCTGAGACAAAAATAGACAATTTTATAATCTAAGTATTACTAGCAAATGCACAGTGTTGGGAAGGTGACTTTTAAAATGTATTCCCCTACAGATTACAGATTACACACCCCAAAATGTAGTTTGTAACGTAATCCATTAAATTATTTAAAGTGAGTAACATAATCTGAATACTTTGGATTACTTGATTTGCTGTAGAGAAGCAAAGACGAGGAAATCGTAACCTAAGATGTTTTGTCTGATAAAAGAAAATAAAAAGCCCAGACTTTACTGAACCAAATTAAAAATATTGTGATAGAAGAAGAGACACGTCCACGCAGCATGGTCCAGTTAAATCCTGTTTTTGTCCTGGTTTAGACCTGGTTTAGACCTGGTTTAGTCCTGGTTTAGTCCTGTTTTTGACCTGTTTTTGACCTGTTTAGTCCTGGTTTAGTCCTGTTTTTGACCTGTTTTTGACCTGTTTTAGTCCTGGTTTAGTCCTGTTTTAGACCTGTTTTTGACCTGTTTTTGACCTGTTTTTGACCTGTTTTTGACCTGTTTTAGTCCTGGTTTAGTCCTGTTTTTGACCTGTTTTTGACCTGTTTTAGTCCTGGTTTAGTCCTGTTTTTGACCTGTTTTTGATCTGTTTTAGACCTGGTTTAGTCCTGTTTTTGACCTGTTTTAGACCTGTTTTAGACCTGTTTTAGACCTGGTTTAGTCCTGGTTTAGACCTGTTTTAGTCCTGGTTTAGACCTGGTTTAGTCCTGGTTTAGACCTGGTTTATTTTCTGGCAATGAGTGGAATTACCAAAAAAAAAAAAAAAAAAAAAGATATAGTAACTGTAATCCAATTACCACTCACTGAAACAGTAACTGTAACTGAATACAGTTACTCATAATTTGTACTCTGATTACATAACTCCGGTACATGTAATCTGTTACTCCTCAACACTGCAAATGCATAAGAAAAGTCATACTATTTAAGTTTGATATAAAGTCTAAGGTTTACAGGGTTAATGTTGGGTGCTCAGATTTACAAAATTAAAAACTGGGACTTTTTTGTTCTATGGTTTCTGTATTTATTTTTCTGTATTTAATATATAACTCTCTTTCAGATTGGTCAAAAATATGGATGGCTATGTCAAATAAACGATTCTGGAGAAGTCTTTTTTTTTTTTTTTTTGTAATTTTCTTTTTTTTAATTTTCTTAAAGTAAAAAAGTGTAAATCACAATTACAAAATACGATCCCCAACATTTCACATTTTACTTCAAAACCAATGCAGAGATTCATAGATACAAAACTCGTCAAAATCATCATTTTCATGTTCCAAAATGAGTCACATCAAGAGTTCAGTTTTGCCGACGATACAGAGGTGGGAAACTGTGAAGTCGGTTTTCACATTTGGTTAGTGGCGGCAGATCAGAGGAAATGTTTAAGTGTGAGGAAATGTTTGATATTTCATGATAATGTTTGATAATTATTCAATTGTGGATGTTTCATTGTGTTTTAATCCATGTTTGAATCACATGAATTCAGTCCAAGGTGTGTAAATGTGATGTTTTATTTATTTTTTTATGCACAGTGATAATGTTCAGTTTTTATTGTATTCTGAAGGTGGAGGCTTGAATATAAGCTCTTTTGGGTTTTTTGCCTCTTCCAGCACCTACTTTTTTAACTAGTGTGTTTTTTTTTTTGTATTATTATTAGTGTACATTTTATATTATTAGTGTGTTTTGTTATTTTGTACGTGCACAATAAATTAATCACATAAATTGCAAAATAACTTTATCCGTACATGTTTTCATGGTGTTACCACACATCCATAGACATAGTTTTTTTATTATTAATTTGAATTTCCTTATTTTAAATTACTTTATATTATAGGTTTTTATTTAAATTCCTGAGCAGGAACTGTCCTGGGTTAATAGGGACATCTGGACATTTAAAATACCCCCTGTATTTTACTTTTACTGTCAGGTATTCATTGTTAACATATAACATGTTTAGATCACCGTGTTACCTTTTATTGTTTCTAAAATGTTATATTTGTAGAAAACAATGTACTAAAAAAAGTTTCTGTTTTTTTGTTTGTTTGTTTTTTGCTCTGACTCTCCCCTCACTGTGCTCTCCACATTAAGTCACTCCCCCTTCAGAGCATTATCATAACAAATCTGTGCACATGTTCCACTAAGGAAACTACTGCACATCGCATCAGGTTTGTTGTGTACAGTTTTGTATAATGTTTCTGTATATTTAAGGAGAATTAATGTGCAGGAGCATGGGTGACATAGACTTTGAACAGAATCTTACTACTAAACTTGAAGAGGGTTTGAATAGGGCCTAGGAGAGATCACTAAATTACTCAAACGTGCATGGATGACATATAAAACCTCTTTCGGCATGTTTCAGATAAGGGAATAACATTATAATGTGGTAGAAACCTTTAAAAAAGTTAATTTTGCATAATACCGCCTCTATTTTGAAGTTTTGGGTATACCGGTACCTTAAAAAAAAAGGTAATGTTTTACTTGGTACAAATGTCAGTAACGTGTGTTACAATGCATTTTTTACCTGGATTCAAGTGGTGGGTTTTTCATTTTTCTTCATACAAATTCGATAAAATCACTGTGATATCAGCAGCGGTGAAGCCGACGCCCGATCGTGTTTTGTGGACACCCTGCTCCACGGACTCGGGGTTCTCTCAGGGGTGGTCCTAGATTCCAAGTCCTAGTCCAAGATTAGTCCTGGCTTGGTCCTGGTTTAGACCTGGTTTAGTCCTAGTTCAGTTGTTTAGTCCTGGTTCAGTTCTCGGTTTAGACCTGGTTTAATTCTGGTTCAGTCCGTATACGGTGCAAAAGTTCGGCATCTTTGCACAGTTATTTTAGTGAGAGTAACTTAAAGTTCTGCAATAGTCATGTAATCTCTTGCATTTTAAATACAGTAATATTGTAATGTATGAATTACTATGAAATGACAGTAACAAGTCATAAATAACACATTACAGTTTTGAAGTAACTTGCCCAACAGTGATTAAATCAGACACTACCTGTTTCTTATTCTTAAAGGCTGGTCAAGTACATAGGAAGTACAATTCCTAATTCATGAGCACAATTATCAGGAGACAGATGGAGTTACATGTATAAATAAAAATGTGGGCATGTGTTCTCCTCACCCTATAACTGTCATTTCATTTACCAAGTCAAGATATTCAGCATCAGTATAATAATAATGGTATTACTGATCCTGGAGGCTGTACAGATAAGACCATTGCACTTGTTTTAATTGCCCATTCAAAGTTGTGTAATGTCCACAAAGCCACAAAGCATCTACGCCCGCAGCAAACCCCGTTCTTCTTCTTCTTTGGGCCTAAATAAAGCTTTTGAAAAGAGTCAAAGGAGAGAGGCACGGGACAAAGGTGAAGCAGTGAAGTGAAGGAGGGTGAAAAGACGAGATGGACGCCGAGTGAAAAGAAAAACACACGGACCCCGAAGCTAAACGTCACAGAAGGACAGATACAGGTTTGTGTACAGGGTTTTCATTTAGAAGAGGAAATCAGCCGTGAGATTCTAAGAGGTGGTGACAAACAAAGACGGTGACGGTAAAAAAAGAGGCCTGAAAGTCAATGTGAAGGTTAAAACTGTAATGATAAGGAATACTTGAAAGAACACTTAAAGGACTCATTAATAGGGACGTAACAATAACCGAAATATTGTGATATCGTATCGTCAAAAGTCTCACAATATATCGAATTACAAGTTCCTTTTCTTATAAACACCGGAAACTACATATCCCATGATCCATTTCAGTGCAGACAACATGAAGATATATGCACGTGAACATATAAAATTATGTTCGCCCCACAGTCACCAAGACCTTACATCAGGGGTGTCAAACTCATTTTGGTCCGGGGGCCGTATCCAACCTACTCTGATGCCAAAGGGGCCGGATCAGAAAACTCATGTCATATAAACCCCAAAAATAACAATAAATTTAAATATTTGTGCAGAGAAACGCAAATCTATTACAGAAATCTTTTTTAATTGATGAACTCTTTCTTTTACAAAATATTATAATATTATGAACAACCTGAAACTTTAAGAAAAATGCAATTTCAACACAATGTTTTAACAGTAACTTATATGTAAATAGGAATAAGTAAATTTTTCTTGTAAAATCCTGCACTTGGCCTCCTCCACTTTTCTCATTTTTGACATTTTCCTGATGAGGGTGTCACGGTCAACAGTCAAAACGATCGTCCTTTAAGAGCGTTTGGAAAGAGACAAGTCTTCATTTGTGCTGCTCTGGTGGGAGGGGCCACGTACAGAGACGCTGGAGACGCTGCTGTGATAAACACCACAGAAAATTACCAATATTTTAATAGAAAATATAATTAAAATATTTTAGTAGAAAATCAGCCGAGGGCCAGATTAAAGGTCTTGGAGGGCCGGATCCGGTCCCCGGGCCGTATGTTTGACACCCCTGCACTAGACAGTGATTTTAAGTTTGACAGGCAAATCAATGGTGTTTTAAAATCAAGTTTTTATCATTTGCGGCTTTTATTTAAAGTCAAACCTTTTTTTAAATTTTTTAAACAAGTTGTGCAAGCTTTTATTTCATCACGCCTGAACAACTGTAATGCACTTTATTCCGGGATCTGACAAAATGCACTTTACCGACTACAGTTCGTCCAAAACTCTGCGGCACGACTTTTAACAAGAACCAAAAGAAGAGTGCACATCACCTCAATTCTTGTGTTGTTGCACTGGCTTCCTGTTAAATTTAGAATTGATTTTAAGATTTTATTGTTTGTTTTTAAAGCTTTCAATGGACTGACCCCACAATACGTCTTGGACCTCATCCAGATTTACAGCCAATCAATTTCCCAACAGCCCCCACAGTGGAGAGTTTTAAATCTCGTCTTAAAACCCAATTTAATTCTCTGGCTTTTAACACCGCGTGAGTTGTGTCGTCCTCTGTGTCTTTTATTTATTTTAATGTATTTTATTGGCTTTATTTATTTATTGCTATTCTATAATTTTGCTCTTATTTTATTTCACCGGTTTTATTATTTTAAGACTAGTGTGATTAAATATAAGCATTTATTTTATCATTTTATTATTGTTGGTATTATTCTATATTTGTGCAGCACTTTGGAAACTGTTTGTTTGTGAAATGTGCTATAGAAATAAAGTGGATTGGATTGGATATGTTTTTTATTTGAATTCTTGGGATTACGACGGAAATAATTCACACCAAAATCTTGTCAGGGTATTTTAAAAGCAAAAAAGTGTTCCTCTTAAACAGCCTCTTCAAAATATCACAATAAGTATCGAACCATGAGATGCATATTGTGATAATATTGTACCATGAGATTTGGATATTGTTACGTCCCTGCTTACTAATAATAAAGGGTTACTCAAACACGTGTGAATAAAACTGTTTTCGAGGAGGTAACTACTTTATAACTATAACTATACTTCAGAACTACTTTCTTAAAGCTCACAAAGGTCAGTTTTGGGTACAGTAATATAAAACTTTCAATAGACTTTCAACAAACACAGGATATGTTCACACTTAAGCACACAGCACACCAAAATAGGGGCTAAACAAGGACTAGGCCTGGAGCTAGACCTGGACTGAACCAGGATAAGGGTCTGTAATAAATTAGCTGCTAATGCGGGCCTCCGATGTCAAAGAGATTTTGAATCTAAATGGGACTTCAGTTTTTATTTATTTGGCATTTCCCGTTTTCTTATCCAAAGGAGTGAGAAGTTATGGTGAAGGCCAGGAGACACCAAACTTTTTTCTCTGGGAGCCACATTATCGCTCCTGACTGTGATCGCTCCGGATGAAAACTGCCACACTTTCTTTACGCATGGGCCCAGTCAAGCAGAAGTAAACATCAAGGCCAAAAATTCAAGTTAATGTATCTGATATAAAATGTATTGAACAGATACATATGTCCTCTAGTTTATGAAACTGTTTACCTTTTTTCTGTACCATTTTTGGTTCTAAAGTTCCATATGTTTTAAACAGACCATGTATGAAACATGGAACAAAAATTATTTCCCAAATTTCAAAGACCTGCAAATCATGTAAATAAACTGATGTATTTCATCATATCTTGTGTTATTCAGTCTTTGAACACTGATGAAGATACATGATTTAAAAAAAAAAAACGTATTTAAAATGATAAAAATTTGCTTGGAAGGACTGACATATTTTATAGAAATAGTTTCCTTTCATTTTGAAGTAATATTAAAGTATTCGGGGGGAAAAAGTTGACAAATTATGCAAAATCATGCACTTTCTACTTGTTTGCACAATTTTCCCTCCGTTACCATGACCTTTCTTAATAAAAAATCTCATGACTCAAAAAGTAAGAGGTTTTTCAACCTAATCTTGTACCATATGGTAGAAAACTATATGAAGCAAATATTCAAACCAGTTTGTTAAGGATATGTAAGTGAGAACCAAGAGTTATCACTGTTTGTATTTATTGCCCAAAAAGTGCTGCATATTTCATTCCCTCCGTTACCGACATGAGTTTTTAAATTTTTTGTCAACAACTTGAAAGAATATCACAGGTTTAACTTGACCCTGTTGGAGTGTAACTCTTTCCTACATTCTGATACTTTACTTATTTCAATAGTCCCTCTAGTTTCTGAATAAGAGACATTTGAATGTAAAAAATCTGCCCCTGTTTCCTTCCGTTACCACTTGACCGGGCCCATATCAGACAAACTGCATGCTCCTTACACTGGACAAAAAAATAATTGGTCGTCTACTGTTCTTTGAAAACTCCAGCACTCTCTGTCACCTTTACGAACTCAACTCTCACACTCAACACTCAACATTTTGCTGTTTTTAATTGCACTACAGAACTCTGCATGTGCGTTTACTGTCACCGTTTGATCTTGAGTTTGTCAGGTCATGAAAATTTGGCAGCAAATTCGGAAGAAAATGTAAATACGTCATTTAATTATTTAAATATACATACTTCATATAAATATAATTTTTAATTGAAAAAAATCAACAAAATTCATGATGCAAATGTGTTATTATTTGTCAAAAAGTAATAAAAAAAAAATAGGCCATGACAACTTTTGAGGATTATCTCATAGGGCCAGTTCAAGTGGTGGGGGGCAGAGAGGCTGGGGGGTTAGTCAAAGGGCCGGAGTCGACCCAGGGGCCTTAGTTTGATGACTCCTGGTGTAGATCTATGAAAATGAGACACTACTGAACAAGATGCTCAAATGGATCAATCCTCTATCTCAGGGAAGGGAAGTTATTCCATGTTTTTACCACCAAAATGCAATTTAAAAGTCTATTATGTAACTTTTATGTAATTATTATGTGGATTGTCTGCAGGCAGGAGACAATCCACATCATATTTACATTGTTTATCTTTAAATACACAATACAGACCTGTTCCATGTAGCATTGGCCCTTTCCCTCCTCTGCTGTGTTCCTATGTCTCTGGACTCAACGTTGAGACCCACCAGAGTCTAAACCAAGTTGAAACCAAGTCTAAATCAAGTCTAAACCAATTCTAAACCAAGTCAAAACCAAGTTGAAACCAATTCTAAACCAAGTCCAAACCAAGTCCAAACCAAGTCGAAATCAAGTCGAAACCAAGTCGAAACCAGTTCTAAACCAAGTCGAAACCGATTCTAAACCAAGTTCGAAACCAATTCTAAACCAAGTTGAAACCTAGTCTAAATCAAGTCTAAACCAATTCTAAACCAAGTCTAAACTAAGTCGAAACCAATTCTAAACCAAGTCTAAATCAATTCTAAACCAAGTCGAAACCAATTCTAAACCAAGTTGAAACCAAGTCTAAATCAAGTCAAAACCAAGTCGAAAGTCTAAATCAAGTCGAAACCAATTCTAAACCAAGTTGAAACCAAGTCAAAACCAAGTCTAAAAACAAGTCGAAACCAAGTCTAAACCAAGTCGAAACCAATTCTAAACAAGTCAAGTTGAAACCAATTCTAAACCAAGTTGAAACCAAGTCTAAATCAAGTCAAAACCAATTCGAAACCAAGTCTAAACCAAGTCGAAACCAATTCTAAACCAAGTTGAAACCAAGTCTAAACCAAGTTGAAACCAAGTCTAAATCAAGTCTAAACCAGTTCTAAACCAAGTTGAAACCAAGTCAAAACCAAGTCGAAACTAAGTCGAAACCAATTCTAAACCAAATCGAAACCAAGTCAAAACCAAGTCGAACCAAGTCGAAACCAATTCTAAACCAAGTCGAAACCAAGTCAAACCAAGTCAAAACCAAGTCGAAACTAAGTCGAAACCAATTCTAAACCAAGTCGAAACCAAGTCTAAACCAAGTCGAAACCAAGTCGAAACCAATTCTAAACCAAGTCGAAACTAAGTCTAAACCAAGTCGAAACCAAGCCGAAACCAATTCGAAACCAATTCGAAACCAAGTCGAAACCAGTTCTAAACCAAGTCGAAACTGATTCTAAACCTGGTCTAAATCTGGTCTATATCAGGACTAAACCGGTACAGACCTGTTCCATGTAGCGTTGGCCCCTGCTCTCCTCTGCTGTGTTCCTTTGTCTCTGGACTCGTCGGAGGGACCCCCCAGAGTCCCGCTCTTGTCCCCAGAGCCGGAGCTTTTGGACTGGGACAGGTCTGTGAGGCTGGAGGAAGATCCACTGCCCAGACGCAGTTTACTGTGAAGACTCCTCGAAATCCAAAACACAGAAAACACACACAAAGGACAATAAATACAAATGGGTACAAGTAGTTTTGAGTGTGTAAGTGGAACTGTGATGAGTGTAATGTACAGTAAATCAGTCAACTGTAATAATGGATTGGTTTTATATAGAGAGTTTTTTGGACACTCAAATGCTTTACCGTGAATTATTCATTCACTCACTAAGATAATATTGTAGCCCTGTTACAGACTGAACACAGACAGAAACGAGGCTGCCATTCTGCACCATCGGCCCCTCTACCCACCACCATCACTCACAACAAATGCAATGTGTGAAGCAGTTAATATAAAGATACAAAGTTAACAAGAATCCTAATAAAAAGAAAATTGTGACATACATTTCCTGGCATATCACACTCCTAAAATGTGTTTAATTTCATTCCTTTAAGCAGTAGTGTTGTCATGATACTAAACTTTCAAACTTGTTTTCAATACTAAAGACTAGACTCAATACTCAATACTGATTCTGATTCTAATGTGCCTAAAGACACAATGACAGCGCTCCACTGTGGCACCTGATTTTCCCAGCGGTCTCTCATTCAAGTACTAACCAGGCCCTGACCTGCTCTGCTTCTTCTGAGATCTGATGGGATCTGACAGGTCTACCACTGCTTCATGACATCACCAGGTGGAACAGAGCATTTTGAGCTTTGGAGTAAACAGACTAATAATATAGGTCTGTTTTTGAGGAGGTAACAGCTTTATAACCATAGACAGAGTTTGCGGGGAGGGCTGCCCCCCTAGTGGCTGAAATATGTCACGAGACATATTAGGCCACATAGACATTGAGTCTATATGGCCTAGTCTAATATGACCAATACAAATATTTACTTTTAAAAAATGTGTTCATATTTTAAATATGTCAAAAATATTGTATGAAATAAATATGAATCCTAGTCTGACCCAAGACTGAACCAGGACTAAAACAGGATTAAAACAGGACTGAACCAAGACTGAACCAGGATTAAACCAGGACTGAACCAAGAATAAAACAGGATTAAAATAGGACTAAACCAGCACTGAACCAGGACTAAACCAGGACTGAACCAGGACTGAACCAGGACTAAACCTGGACTAAACCAGGACTGAACCAACACTGGACCAGGACTAAAACAGGACTGAACCAGGACTGAACCAGGACTAATCTTGGACTTGAGAGAGAGAGAACCCAGAGCCCGCGCAGCAGGGTGTCCACAAACTGTGATCGGGTGGCGGCTGAGCTCTACCCTGTGGGGCGTGGAGCTCTGCGCCGGTACTTTCGCCTGCGGTCCCCTGACGCATACAACAGTACAGTACAGTACAGTCTAGTCTACAGTGTGGTCTACGGTGCGGTCTACGGTCTACGGTGCGGTCTACGGTGCGGTCTACGGTGCGGTCTACGGTGCGGTCTACGGTGTGGTCTAGAGCCCAACCGATATGGATTTTGCTGTGGCCGATATGAAACCAATATAATGGAAGTTGGAGCTGCCGATAGCCGATATAATCACCGATATATTTAGTGATGTAAAAATTCACTGTAAATGTTGAATTGTTTAAAAAACTTAGGTTTGGCTCTGGTGGATTTTAACTTGGGTTTATTTAGGCAACATTTATTGTTATTCTGCCTATTTACATCATATTTACAGACACTAGGTTGACTTAATGGCATTTTTGCATCACATTCTAGACACTAGTGATGGGTATTCCAGTTCTTTTTAGAGAACCGGCTCTTTTGGCTCGGCTCACTAAAAGCTGCTGGTTCTTTTGGCTCCCAAGTGGCTCTTCAGATTGTTTTGTTGCAAGCAGGACTAAAGCACGTCTAAAGCAGGACTGAATCAGGACTGAACCAGGTCTAAACCAGGACTGAAAAAGGACTAAACCGGGACTTATTTATTTTATGCTAAACTACAGTCAAATATGCTCGTTTTTTGTTTTGTTTTGTTGTTTTTTTTTGTGTTTTTTTTAATCCTACGTACACGCAAATTTCTCAAAGTTTCGTTTTTAGCCGCTGCCGCTGTCAAACCACGAATCTGCACGCGGCGTGAAGAGAAAAAAAGTGAGAGAAAGAGAAAACACGGCTCCCAATAAGGATCAGGCTCCCGTCGTTCCCTTCAAAGAGCCGGTTCTAAGAGTCATTTCGTTCGCGACGGACCCATAACTAGTAAAGAAAGTAGCGCTATTAGCCTTTAGCCGTAAATACGTGCGCGCCGCGGTAATTAATTATATGCGCAAATGTCATAATTCACACCTCTATTCACAGTTCATTTACATATCAGTGCTGGTCCAGTAACAAATATACGGCCAATATAGTCACTTTAGAACAGACCAATAGAAAACAGTCTGTTTATGAGCGGGAGCTACAGCAGCTAACCCATAACAAATGACAAAAACTAGCTTCAGAGTCGACATATGTCCAACACTCACCGCTCATACAGGCTTCTCCTCACATCACAAATCTGCACTAATAAATGTCCTTTTAATCCAGACTCAAACCGATTGTCCGTAAAAAGAATATAATCTCAGTGTTTGGATCTGTGTCTGCAGGTGTAAACAAACGCACGTGAGTGACGCGACTCTGTGGTGTGTTCAGGGACAGTACGGACACACACTGACAAATGACTCCGTAGATAAATACTGATGTGGAGCCACATATTAGGACATTTATCTGTCTGTAAATTGGATTAAATGAACAGAATGTAGAGAGTCTAAGCTTTATAACGAGGTATAACATGCCCATATGAAATATCGGCCCATATCAGCAAGCATATCGGCCGATAGCCGATATGCCTAAAGCTGCCCATATCAGCCGATAATATCGGCCAACCGATATATCGGTCGGGCTCTAGTGCGGTCTACAGTGTGGTCTATGGTGCGGTCTCGGTGCGGTCTACGGGCGGTCTACAGTGCGGTCTACAGTGCGGTCTACAGCATTATTAGCATTATAACTATTCTGTATAATGTCAAAGAATAATTATAATGCACAGCGGTGTTTACAATAAAACGATAATGTCATTGTACAGGGCGTTTCCGTACTGTGCACATGACAATTCACATTTTACATCTTGACTTTAGTGCCTTGACATTAAAATGTTTGCCCCCCGAGCGCAAAAGTCAAACTCCGCCTATGATTATAACATAACTAAAAGCTCACAAGAGTCAGTTATGTGATATAGAACCTTTAAACAGCTCAAAAATGTATATTCAAGTTTGGTTACAGTTTAATTACTTGGGGTTGCTTTGTCTGAAATGTCCCACAGTATGGCATTAAACCTCTCTTTCATTCATGTGAGGTGTTCTTATCGCCGTGAAAATCTTATCAGCAGATTTATGTTTGATTAAAGTTCAAAAGTGTGTGTTGTATTTCCAGGAGCAGATCTGAGTCTTCATTAGAGTTTTTATTAGACATGTGTCAGTGTTGACTCAGGCGGCTCTGATTAAATGGAGCAGATGTCCTGTGTAAAGAAACAGCGATGCGGACGGACCATTACAAAAACCAAAGGATCAGACCAGGACTCAGAGAACACAACATATTTTGGAGATATTTGGGGAAAAAATATAAAACTATGACATGAAAAATCTGGAGTCAACATACCCCTATAGGATTTTGACTCCCCTTACTTTTTTTTTTTTAGTAGTTACTTATATGATCATTATTTCTCATGTAATTTACTTTTATTATATACTGCTACATATTCACTTTCTTTTAAGGTATTTTAAGAAATGTTTTGATGGATAATGACTTCGTATTTTGTGTAAATGTAACGTATACATAGCAATCTTGTCACTTTTTATATTGTATTTTACATTGTTAAGGTTTTTAGTTTATGTTCAGATTAATCCTTAATCATAATGTCAATTTAGGCAATGGTTTGTATGGATAATGACCTTGAATGTAGTCATGTTGTGTTGTAATAAACATATTGGGGGGGGTCATAGGATTTTGACCTCCTTTATATTATAATTGATCATTGTCAATATTCAACTAACATTACTTCTTACTTTACATCATAATAACTATAATAAACATATTGGGGGGTCAGATTATTATAGTCATAGGTAGATTCCAAATCATTATACATCACTTTGATTACCTAATTAATTAATAACTACCTACCTCATTTTCAGTAACATATATGTTTAAACAACTAAGTAATTTTTAACATTCAAAAGTTATAATTGACATAAAAAATGCATCTGAGTTCTTCAAAAACACTTTTAAATATGTCAATGTGTTTTAATTTGTAAATATAGTATTAATATTCAAAGTTTTTCTATAGAATTCACGTTGTTTATTAATAAAATATAGATTTTCATGGGGGGGTCAACATACCATAATAGGATTCTGACCCCGGGGTCACCTCACCGCGGGATCAAAATCCTATACCACACCGTGTATTTTTGTTTTTTGAAATGACCAAAAGTGGATACCAGATATTAATTATTCTATTTTGCATTTTCCTTGTGATAAATTGGAGAACACTTGTAGAAAGTGTCCTCATCTACTAGTACAGGGATGGGAAATTATTTTTTCCATGGGGCCACATGGGAAACAGAAAATATTGTGGAGGGCCAAAAAACTTAACTCAATTCTGCATAATATTAATATATTTCTTTATAAAAAGCAGTAAATATCATTGTTTTGATGAGCTGGTAAGACTGGTAAGAGTTTATGTTTTGACTAAGCAATGAAAAAGTGAGGGGACCTTACAAAAATGTCATAAAAAATAAATTAATTAAATAAAAATAAAATAAAATAAATAAATAAACGAATAAAAGCAATGCAGTTTTAATTTTAGTATGACAGTGCTGTGTGCATGGGTGAATGTGTTGGTTTGTGACGTATGTCTGTGAAAAGCGCTATATAAATAAATAAAAAAACTTAATTAATCCATGCATGAGGTAAAATGATAAAATATGTTTATTTTATAATTCCAAGGAGCTGTACAATGCCCAGGTCTGTATTAGTAGGAGGGACAAAACTGGCTTAAGTGGTAGAACA